TTTTATTCATCTCAAATTTCTACACTTGAATGAAAAAAAAATGTATTAATAGAAATGATATTATTTAAATTTACAAGATTTTCTGATATAAAAATTGCAATTTATTGCTTTTTTTTCTCGCAACACTTCGAAATACAGATATTATAGTTTAATTTTAACGATGCATAGACAATTTACTTACATTAACAATACAATATATATATATATAGATCGTGGAATTTATTATTCATTTATAGATTTTAATCATTTTATATTTTATTCTTATAAATATTGATTATTTTATAACAAATATATAATTAATTTATTTATTATTAAATGTTAATTTATCAATCAAAATTGTCGTATTTTTTTTTTAATTAAAAAAAAATAAATTATTAATATATAATATATTATTTTCTTTTGAAAATAAAAATGTATCTTAAAAAAATTTTTCAAAATATATGTCTGAAAATTTTTGATTTACATCCAATTATATCCAATATATATATAAATCAATATCATTATTACATTAAACGTTAATGATAGATAAGAACATTAATTTTCAATTGTTCTAAATTCGTATAAAAGAATAAAAGTTAGAAAATTAAAGTAAATTTTTTTTTTCGATTATTTATTATAAGTATAATATTTCATAGTTTAACATTAGAAATATGAAAAAAGCGTTAAAAAAAAATAGAAAATCATAAAAGAAAAAAGACGAGAGAAAAAGTTAAGAAGCTAACATTGATTATATAGTAAGTTGTTCTCAGTCTGTCAAGATAAAAGATAACCTATGTTTAATCAATTCTTTGTTCTAACAACAAAAACAATTATATTCGATCAAATTATATTAATATTATTTAAATATTAATTAAATAATAATTTTTAAATAAAAAATATATTTGTAGTTTGTATAGTACATCAATTTTATAAAAACATGATAAAAATACAAAATCTTAATAAATAAATTAACTTTAATAAATAATGGAATTTACTAATATTACAATTTAATAATACTTTAAAAAGAAATCAATTTTATGTTTAAGTATTTTTATTTTGTTAAAAAAAATTAAAATAAAAAATATATAGAAAAAAATATTTAAATGGAAATATTAATTATATATTTGTAAATTACATATAAAATATAAATATTATATTTTATTTTTAATAAAAAATTAATTCCAATCATTTGATGACATGAATATCAAGCATAATTTACACTTTATTCTTAAAAATATACATATTTATTTTAAAAATATATATCATTAATATACATACATTTTTTATAACTTTAATCAAAGTAAAATATTTTTTATATTTTACAAGTAATATAATATATAATAAAGCTATTTTAATTAAATTCAATAAAAAAAAATTGAAAGTAATTTTAATTTTCATCAAAATAATAAACTGTTGATAACTGTCATTATCAAATGCACGTAAATAACTTGATATGAAAAACTAAAAGAAATGACCACAATCATAAATAACAGTATACAATCGCATTCTATAACCTCTTACGCATAGGACATTCTGACTAATAGCTTTCATTAAAAAGTACTTATAATAGAAATCTTTATAAAAAATAACGGTCGATCACAAAAATTAGTAAATTTCTCCATCATAAGGAGACATAAGATGGCGGTAGGTTTCGGATCAAAAATACTAATATAAGTTGCGTACCTGAAGATTCGTATTTGTATCTTCAATAATCTCATCTGTTTCCATGTTCATCATTTTCACACAAAACTGACACAATATTGTTGATTCAAATGATGTAAATAGATTTATTTGGTGGAAAGTTCTAGTAAAAGGATAAAACACAGTTTGAACACTAGCGTTTGATTATTCAACACGACTGACGACGCTCATGAGTCCTCGCCATGTACAGGAAGTTGAGACAACATTTCACCAACACAACAGCTCGTAAATAACTATGTCACTTACAGAATCAAGAAATCAAAATGTGTGTGTACGTGTATATTACGATTCTTAATTCATATGGAAAAATGTATTAATCTTATATATGAACAATATTCAAAATATAATTAATTTTCTTTAGAAATATACGAGATATCTGAATGAATTCCCAAATTTATAAAAATATGCACACGATTAACCGCCAATAAAAAGCTTATGAGAAGCACTAACACTATCAAGTTCACAACTGCTTCTGTTTGACTGAATCAACTTGGTGGCGCATCAAACATGAAATTTCCAAGATGGCGCATATGCGCAAAATATTCCGCGCATGTTTCAAACATAATTTCAAATAATTTTATTTATTAAAAGTATTTTTTATTAAATACATTAGTACGTTTATTTATATTTACAATCTATTCATAAAAACGTATATATTTATATACTTGTTACATTTACAAATAATGTATAAAAAAAAAAATAATGTAAAATAAAAGTGGAATTTTTATATTTTATATGGAATTTTTATATTTTAAATTATTTTAATCCTTAGTCTTTTTTCGTAATCGTAGTCTTTTTTTATTAAATCCATTTGATTTGTTCATTTTTATTTCTTGTATTTTCCAACTGAATTTGATTAAGAGCAGCATATGGTTTATGACATACCTGTGAATCTAATGGTGGATAATAGTATCTATAACACATATATGCCAAAAAGTATCCTATTATCGAACCTACAACCACATCTAACATTTTGGGGATATTAAAATATTTATTTTTTAATTAAAATATAATAAATAAACATTTATTCGCTTACCTTGCCAATGATGATGATAATCAAAAGTTCTACTTAATGCAATTAAAAGAGCAATACAAATTGGTAACACAAATGCAAATAATTTCCATAACTGCCCTTTGCCTAGACTAAATGTATGTAGTTTACCAGCTATATATAATGCAATAAAACCAAAGCTTGTAAATGCAACTAAAAAATAAATATATATAAATTTACATAAATAAATATATATGTATAAATAGATCTTTTAATATAATTCAAATATTTCTAAAAAAATATTTCATTTTTTCACATACATGAAGAATGACCACTTGGGAATGATTTTTTTCCATCTTTTATAACAATTGGATTTCCATTACATTTGAAATCTGGATTTGTCTGTCCATCAGGAAAACATCTCCAAAAAAAATCTGGCCGAGGACGACCTATCAAAAAATAAATTGTTATTATAACAATATTATATAATAATTTTTTAAAATCATTAATATTTTAAAATTCTTACCAACAATAAGTTTTATAACATCTGTAATAACACCATTAAATCCTAATGCTAAAGTGACAGCTAATACTGCTTGATAAATGTCAGTTTTATCTTTGTAGACCAGAAAAACACAAAAAATTACCATAACAGGCATTATGAAAACTAAGGGCTAAAAATAAATATGCAAATTAATTTTATACATAAAATTTAATTATAATTTAGTATACACTACCCATAATATAGTAGTTGGAACATAAGATTCTGTTCTTGGTTTTTTATATAACCATAATTCATCTTCATGAATTATTCTAGTAAATGGTTCTGCTTTTTCTAATTCACTATAAATATAAAAAATAATAAATTTATATATAAAAAATAAAGATAAAGATTTATTTTATTTGTAAACTAGTTAAACAAAACTTACATAAATAATCCCACTAAAACAATTCGTAATAATATATCAAATAAATATCCTACTAAAAAATCTTTACTATATATAATACTCATTATGAATTTGAAATTTTAAATATTATAACATAAATATTATAGAAGTACGTATAGAAATACGTATAATAAGTATGTTTTTGTTGAAAAGTTTATATAAATAATTTCACTAAAATAATTCGTAATAACATGTCAAACAAATATCTTGTTAAGAAATCTGAGAATCTATCATATATAATATTCATTATGAATTTGAAGTAATTATAATACAAATATTATAAAAGTACACATAACAAATACGTTGGCACTAAAAAAAATTCAAGCCCTGCAGAGATAGAAATATTTCTTTCCATCACTTATTGCCACAACCTATATGATCTTATTTGTGATGTGACATTTTCAACCAATATGAATACTTATTTTTATAAATATTGAAATCAACCAATCAGATTTGCATTCCGTACAAGCGATTTGGCCAACTTGCTAACAATATATAATATAAACACATGATTTGAAATTATACAAGTCAAATGATTCATTTCATCACAAATACATAAGTATATATACAATTATATATTTATATAATATTAGTTATTAAAAGTTTTTTATATATAAATTTTTTTTATTATTTTTTTATTTATTATAAAAATTATAAGAAATATATTAATTATTTTTTATTAATGTATTAATATATTTGTAATATATGTGTAATATTTGTAAATATATATATAAATTTTTTTTTAATGTATTAAAATATTTTTTTTATAAATATTATTCATTTATAAATTTTTCTAATAAAAAAATTACAATTGGCAATATTAAATTTATATTTTAAATTTATACTTTATATTTAAAGTATTAAATGTATATTTAAATGTATAATAAAGTATATTAAAAATATATTCAAACATTTATTATATATATAAAAAAATATTTGAACATATAGAAAAGTTCAAATACTTTAACATAGAAAACATTACATTTAACTACTAATTTTTTGATTGAATATTCAATTTAATATTAGTATTTAAAAATACTAATATTATAGTATTATTTTTTATATTAATTTTTATTTTATAATAATAATTAAAATTTAGTTAATGTTAACATAATAATAATAATAATATAGTAAATGTTTATTGAAAATCGGACTTTACTATAAAATATTTTAAAAATCGAAAGCTCAAATATAGAGTAATATAAATGAGTATTATTTTATTTATGTCCTATTCTACATTTGTTATTAATTTTCTACAATTGTTATTAATTTGAATAACTTGTTAAAAAAACTTAAAGTATAAAATTTAATTTAATTCTTTAATTGCAAATTGATTGGTTAACGTATCATAAGTGTCAGTAGACATTTATCGTTCTAAATATTATGCGCTATATAAATTGGAATTCTATCTATGTATTTACCTTTCTTTCTATTAATTTTATTTTTTTTATTTTTTGCATTTTAAATTAATGAAATCAATGTATAATAATTATCTTTCTATTACTAATAAAATTATTTTGAATTCGATATATTGATACTATATGCTTACAATGCTTTTACTTTACATGTGTTTTTATGTCTTAGATTATACTGCATTTTTTGTTTGAAGTAACATTGCGTATTATTGTAAAATAATTAATGTTATGATAGTAAAACTTAAAATCTCTAATTTAATATACTGTGAAGGTTAGTTTCATGACGGATATAGTTATTTAATATAATTTATTAATATAAATAATTATTATATATATATAAAATATATATTTTATATATATATGTGTATATATACATATATATATATATATTCGAAGATTTCGAAGATTTATGTACATGTATATATATAAATTTTCGAAAATTCAATTTTTATAATATGTATTTATTTGTCAGTCTTTTTCATTTTTTATATATATTAAAAATTATATTTAAAAAGAAAATAGATATTTAATATATTATGATTATAATTAATTTATTTATAAGAAATATTTAAGAAATTAGATGATTAAAATATTGTGATTAATTATATATAATTTTATATTAATTTTCATATGAATTTTCATGATTCAGATTCAAGATATGAAGTAATAGTCATATGAGGAAGATTGTAAATGATTATAGTATTTATTGCAAGAATCAATTATATTTATAAATATACTGAATATAAAGAATTTAATAATGTTAACATCAACATTAACAATGCCTTCTACATCAATAAATACATCTAGAATACCAAGTCCTATTAGTGATACATTTGATGATAATCCTAGTAGATTAACTACATATTTACATCAACTTGCTGGATGCTATGAAACCGAAATTAATGTACTGGTAAAAGATCATTGTTATGCACGTCCATGGAATTGGAAACCAGAAAATGTTTATGTAAAACCAATAAAAAAATTATTTTTTCCAAAAAAAAATTTATTAATGTAAGAAATGAAAATAATAGAATTATTAAATATAATTATTAAAATGTAATTATAAAATGATATTATTATTTTACTTTTTATATATTAGGGAAAAAATTACTCAGGATGAAGAAATTAATATAGAAGAGGATAATAATGAATTATTAGTACCACCAATAGATTTTACTAGAGCTCGGCATCAAATGGATGAATTACAAAGATTAGCAAATTTTGCTAGACCTGATGAAAATGAAGATTGGGAAGAGAAACTTGATAAAATTTTATGGACACCTGTTCAAAATCGAATATTTACTAAAGTTCTTAAAATATTAAATTCAGAAAGACTTGCAAGATTAGCTAAAGTAAATAATTCAATAGAACCAATTTATCGAAGAACATCAGTTGATACAGCTGCAAGGAGATTTCGGGAAACATTGGCATCTGCTGGTTGGGATTGGAGACTTGCACAATGGTTGCATAATTTATTGTTTGACCATCTTCCTCAAGAATATCTTGGTATTTATCTTGACATATTGCAAACTTTAAGATTAAAAATTCCTCAACTTATTGATAAAATGATTGCTGTACAACCAAATATTAATGCAAAAACGGGTTCCATAACATGGGAAACTCTTGGATCACTTCTTAAACGGACATGGGATCCTGTTACACCAAGTTTAAATAGCAATAGACTTGTAATTATTTTTTTTATTAGATATATCAAAATATATTTTATATGAATTTAATAATAATAATATATATAAATATGATTATTGTTATAGAAAAAATTACCAGGAAATCCAATTTTGATAATAGTTCCTTCTGGAGTAGGATCTAATATTTCTACTCGGCAACATAAATGGATTTCACAATTAGGAGCTTTAGGAATGGTTGTTACTGTTCATACACATTTAGGTTTATCAGCCAATAGAATGACTATGATGGTATGCATTGACCAATTAGTTCAAGCCACTAGAACTAAAATACAAGATATTAGGAGTGATTTTCCTGGTAGACCTATTATTCTTGTTGGTTTTAATACTGGTGCTGCTCTTGCATGTCAGGTATAATATTTATCTGTGTATTTTAATATAATATGATAATAGATTCAATATGAAATCTTTAATATTTATAGGTAGCACAAATGGAACATGTAACTGCAGTTATTTGCCTTGGCTTTCCGTTTTTTACAGTTGAAGGAAAAAGAGGTACATCTGATGATACATTAATGGATATTCGATGTCCAATTATGTTTGTAATAGGACAAAATGCTACACTTGTAAGATCTGATGATTTAGAAGACCTCAGAGAAAAAATGATGGTTGAAACAAGTTTGATAGTAGTTGGAACTGCTGATGATCATTTAAGAATATCTACTGCAAAAAAGATATCAGAAGGTATTACACAAAATATGGTAGATAGATGTATCTTAGACGAAATTGGAGATTTTGTAGGAACTATTCTTTTGCAACCACATCCATTACCATTAAGATCAACATCATTAGCAAATTATGAAAATAAAAACAACAGAAAGGAACCACGAAAACGAAGAAATTCAACAAGTAGTTCTGTCGAAAGTAAACCAAATTCTCCTACTATAAAAAAGTCACGACCGAATACACCAATTTCTTCTGTTGTATCTATTGGACAAAATACACAATCAGCTACGATTTCTCGAATAGGAACATTTAGTACACAACAAAATATAATCGCAGTAGGTGGAATACATACAAATCATGCACAGACTGTAAAACGGAAACCTCGAGTTGTTAATAATCAAAAAAATCATTTCGTAGAGCATTTAATAACGTCTAGACTTTCCGGACAAGTAAGTTTTTAATTTTAATTAAAGGAGAGTATCCAAATATATATATATATGTATATATATATATATATTTTTCAGTCAAATTCGAATTCAGATAATGGTGGTATAACGTTAAATATTGGTTCATTGGCAAGTTTAGCGCCAATTGGGCCAATACGATTAGCTCCAACATCGTCAGGTCAAACAATATCTACAACAATTAAAAATATTCCTAAATCTTCAATTGCATCAACTAAAGTGCCTAAAATTGTTTCAACGAATGTACAGTTACAAAACGTGTCAAAAATGAAAACTATTGTATCATCAAATAAAGGTTTTTCTAAAGTAATATCAAACAACTATAGGCATCTCAATATTCCTGACAAAAATGGAGATACAAAACTTGTTAATGTTTTAACAACATCAGGAAATCAAATTAGAGTTAATACTTTAACAGCTGCAGGTAAATTTTACATATTGTTTTATTATCATTATATATTATTATATATATCATTATATATATTTTATATAACATGTATATTTTTTCTTCTTTTTCTCTAGCCATACATAATAAACCTACGATTGGTACATCAAATGGAACTTTATCAAATATTTTACAAAATGGAAAAACTTCTCTCACACTTGCTACTAATTCATCATCTGCACGTGTATCTGCAGCTTCTAGTATCTTATTAACTCCAAATAATTCTGTGGCAACTAACATAACATCAACTACATCGACAATATCAAAAGGTAGAATATTATTATCTAATCAGTTATTAAATAACTTGCCTACATAATCTTTTTTTAATCTTTAATCAAATGTATATATTTTTTGCAAGTATAAGATACGAATTCATAAAATGATTATAAAGTTGAATTATTGTTATTTTGAATAATATTTTGGATTATGAAATTTTTATAAGAAAAAATCTTTATCTAAAAAAATTTTAATTTTATTCTCTAAATTTCATGACAATTTTTGTATATATGTATAAAAATTATATTGTAACATATATATTTGAAATATATTTAATAAATTCATATCTAAGAAAAAAAAAAGTAAAAAATGAAAACAAAATTAAATTGTGAAATTCATGACCTAATTCATGACCAATTTTTGACCTAAAAAAATTAAAATATAAATATGAAAAATATAAAAAGTTAAACAAAATAAATATCTAAATATTTAGTATATATATTTAGTGAGTAAAGAACACTGGAAGGAAGAATTCATGTCATCTATCGATACATTTATCAAATTTATATCATGCAAATTGCTATTATGTAAGTTTTTTATTCTATATGCACAAAATTAGTATTAGAATTTTTACCTAATATATTATTTATTAATAACATCATTTAATATTTCCTTGATTTATTAAAATAATTTTGAATTTTATATATTTTTATAATTTATTATTTTGATCTAAAAATATATATCTTCATATGGAAAATCATATATATCGTACATATGAAAAAAATATTATGCATGAAAATATAATGTGACAAAATAAATTTTTCATAAAATGTATCGATTTTAAATACTATTTTCTTTATATTTTTGGAAATATATATAAAAAGAAAAATAGGTTTTGATCTTAATTATATGTATATTTTTTATTATATAATAATTAAAATTTAATAATGATAGATTTTATTTTTTCTAGTCATAACATTTTTATTACATTATTTGCATTTTTCTTTACAATTGTATATTTATATATAGAAATATACAGAAAAGAGATTTTATATAGTATTTTTTTAATATAAAAATACTATAAGGATATTAAATGTATGTATCTTTGTTTAGCATGTGATGTAACATATGTCCAATTATAGAGAGCATGTATTTATATTATTTTTTTACAATTAATATAAGTTTATATTTAAAAGTATAAAGTAATATGTTGTAAATATATTACTACTATTTTTTATTTTATGTTAAATAAACATTTTTCCATGTAATTTGAATTTATTTGTCTCCTTGCCCTAAATCCTCTTAATGTAAATTGTATATATATGTATTATATGTAATTATATAATTTGCAAAAAATTAATGATATTAAAATTTTTTTTTATTTATAATTTAATATCTTTTTTATAATCTTTTTTTATGTAGCAAAATAATTTAAATATATTATATTACTGTATAATCTAAATGATTGTTTACATTTTAAGCATATTTTTTAAAATAATAAAATTTTGTATATTAATTATTATATTTAATTATATAATTTATAATAATTTTAAAAAACATATATAAAATCAAACTTAAACATTTTTTATGTTTAATAGTTATATTTAATATTTGCATGATCATAATCATTCTTAAAGATATTAGATTTACATAATTCATGTAAAAGAAAAATGTTTATCTCTGAATCTATAACAATGCAATGATGAAATTTTTTGTATTTATTTATATTTTTAAAAATTGTTGAAATATATATATATGTTTATAGTGATGGACGACATGGCAACATCCAGTAGTTCTTCGCATGTGATGCTCAGTTCCACTCATTCCTTGGATACATTCAAGATGTCACAATTATCCCGACAAGTAACAACTTGTAATAACTCTCATAATACATCATGTGGGAATATAATTATGGTTGAAAATTCTCTTAATGCTAAACCTACTTGTTCATCAGTGATAGTACCACTAAATAGTCATAATTCAGGAACTATTTTACCGTTATCTAATAAACTAAAACTCACTCAAAAATCGACTAAAACAATGCCAAAGATTACAGTCAACACATCCAATTTACAAAGAATCCATAAACCTCAAACATTACAGAAGAATTCTCTTGTAAATGAGATTGATGATGAATTAGGAAATATATTAGATATTCCAATAATCTTTGCAAAAGATGATGATAATTTAAATTCTATTGATAAAAATTCATCTTTATCTCAAACAATGCCTGTAGATATTCATGAAAAAAATACACCTAAACTAAATAGCAATACCAAAGTTGTTCTCATAAGTAACAAACAAGATAAATTACAACAAACAGCTAATAAATTTGTGACACCTTCTACCCAAGCTATTATATGTCCTAATGTAGCTGTACAAAATTTAAATCATGTAATATTACAGACAAAGCCTCAAACTCCTACTTTATCCAAAACTAAAACTACAATTCCAATACAAACTCGTTCAAATCAACCTACTATTAAATATACTAAAATAATTCTTGCAAAAAGAAATTCTCAATCAGTTTATCAAAATGATAAAAATGAACAAGTCATTGTAACAAAGACAATTGATAAAATTAATGCACCTAAATTGTTAAATTTCGATAAAAATGAACATCGATATACACAAATTGCAACAAAGCAAATAAAAAAGAACGAAAATAATATAATAGATGACGTATTAGAAATAGAAGATGCTATAAAAATGAATATTATAGAACGTAAACATATATCTCTACAAAGAGTTGATCTAGCATCACAAACAAATGATAATATAAAAGAAAGTTTAACTGAAATAAAGATAAATGTATCTAAAGAAAATAATTCAGAATGTACTAAAATTGACGATATAATAAATTTGCAAATGTAAAATTTTCATCTCAACTAAAGATATACATCTGTATCAAAATGAAGCATATTGTACATGCAAATCTGACTTATGATAAAAATTAAATCATTATAGGAAAGGTACAGTTATTAATTTTCTCGTTAAAACTCATAAATCATAATAATTAATTTTTTAATCTCTTTATTTAAAGATCTATTTAACAGAAAATAGTTTAGTTTTATAAATTTCATATAATCTAAATTAACAAATTAATTATAAAAATTATTATTATTTACAGATTACGCACAGTGTTATATTTCATTTCATTCTTATAATTTGCATTACATGTAATTTTAACTATTACAAGCTTTATAAAAATCTATGTATCCATTTGCAAATAATTCAGTATTATTGATAGTATTAATATATTCTTTGAATTCACTATTCATGAAATGATAAGTTGTTACTGTTTTCTTGATACTTGTCTTTCTAGGAACTGGTACTGCTGGTTTAAATACAACACCAGTAGGATCAAATTCAATATGAAGCTCTTCTGGAGAACTGGAAGAAATAAAGAAATTTAAAAAAAAAAATAAATTCTTGTTACATAGAATTGTATATTATATCTTAAATATTAAAAAAAATTTCAACAAAATTTGAACTTACAGTTTAGCAATTTCTGAAGATAAACTGCCTTCACCTATTGATGGCACATTCCAAGCTATATTTTTTGCCATCTTTTGTACAATACTGTGATAATGTCGCTAATAATAAAAAATATAAATTTGTCAATAATTATATTTAAATTTAACAAAATTACATAACTTTTATAAATATATACTTGTAAAGCTGCAAGTTCCCATAATGCTGAACAATGTGCATTGCAATACTCAGGTTCTTCTAGTTCTGCTTGATAAAAACCATCTCCTATAGTACAATCAGTATCTAACAAAATATCTAACTCTTTTCCAAGTTGTATATTTTGTTTTATAATACCAAGAATGCCTAGTACCTCATTATGTTGTAATTGTAAAGTTAAAATAGCTATTCTTTTGATGAAAGCTATTAATCGTCTTTGAGTTATTCTTTTTCTTCTATGAATTAAAGTTTGAACTAAAATTTTTATAATAATTTCTGTCTCTGAATAAGTTTTACCACAATGAATGTTTAATAAATTTTTATATAAATGTGCATAAAACCTATTTAAAAATTATGTGTAATTAATTTAAGATTTTAATAATTAAATCTTAACTTTTTCATTTACAATATTTATTCTTGCTCAATACAAACCGATAAGGATCAAGATTTAATTGTAAACCTTGTCCTGATAATATTGTAAATATACATTGAATGCAATATAATTGATCTTTCAAACTTAAATTATTTTCTTCCATTAGTTTATCTATAGTAGTTACTAAGTCCTGATAAAAATCTAAGTTTATGCAATGTGCAAATCTGTAATTATTCGATATTATTAGATATCTTATAATTTAATATATAATTTAATTTAATGAAAAACTATTATACTTTGCTAATCCTTCCAAACAAATAGATAAAATTTTACTATTTGGAGCCTGTTTTAAGATTCTAAAATAAATCGTAAATACTATGTTTGTTATTTCAGCAAGTAATTTTTGTTTAGTTTGCTTATTTTCTTCTGCTTTAGTTTCTAATAATTCTCTTTCTATTTGTTCAAGTTTTTTATTCTTCTTCCGTTCTTTTTTACTTAAGGCAAGAATTCTTTGTTTATAAGATATAAGTTTTTTTTGTTTAGTATCTTCTTCTTTTTCTTTATCTAAGTTTATATCTTTTATACGAAGAAATAAAAGTACTGATAGAACTTCAGAATGTACAGAATGAGCTTTTAATTTTATGTATTGATTTAATTTACGTACTATCTGTAGAATAGATTAGATTTAATAATTTATAGAATAGAATAGATTTAATAATTTATACAAAATGAATATAATTATTATAAAATACAACCAAATATATTATGTTTCTTACTATAAGAGATAATTCAGCACGTTTGTCTTCTTTGAAAATCTGAGATAGGCATTTTAGGACTTTTTGTCTTATAAATTCATATTTATTATCTAATAATGGTATAAGAAAATTTGCTATATTAATAGAGTAATTAAAGTAAGGATGCATCATTAGAAGATCACACATGCATGTTACTGCAACTTTTCCTAATTCAATTTGTTGTTCTTTTATTTTTCGTGTATCTCCTTTCTTCTTTTTTAATATATTAATCATTTTTTCTAACTTCTGTAGATAATATTTATAATATTTCAATAATATAGTTTCATAATTTTGTAATGCAAGTGTTTCTTTTTTTACTAAAAAGAAAGTAGGAAGCTTATAATTTGTAATAACTATAATAATTACATATTATTACGTACATTTTACACCTTCTTGTGGAATTTGAAGAATTTGATAAGATGGCAATAGATCTTTAAAAACTTCCATTAAAGAAACAGTTGCCAATTTTCTTACAGTAATATATACCTCTGGATTAGTTTCTTCCATTAATTCTAATAATGCTTTAAAATTTTCACATTTTGTTTCTGGTGTTTCTAAAAGATTGCTAGATAATAATCCAATTTTTAAACGTTTAGATGTCAATATTTCTTTACGATATGCTAATAGTTCTATTATGGATATAGATTTTTTGTTTTCATCTTTATTTTTATTCTAAAACATTAATTAAAATAAAAAATATATATTTTTTTATATATTCTAATAGCTAATATAGCTTCATAAAGTTTGATGAAGTCTTACGTGTAAATTTGATTCTATTTCTATATTATCTTCAGCATTATGTTCCTTTTCAGAAATGTTCTCATTATCTTCAATATCAGTTTCTGGAATTAATCTCTTCTCTATAATTCCATTTTTTGTTTTTATAGGAAGTAACATACGAACTTTTTTTATACCTCCTTGATCAATTACTTTTGATATATTATTTTCATATCTTTCCTCAATTGTTTGTTTCTTTTTGTTCTTGTTTTTATTATTTTTTTTATCATTAATTGCTCTAAAGTATGTATAATATAAAATATATTTTATATATTATTAAATAGTAATAATAATATATTTTAAAATAAAACATTAACTATGATAATATTCATACTCATTTAGATGTATTTGTTTTAACAAATTATATGAGTTATTAGAAATAGCTTTTTGTAAAAAATCTAAATCTTCTTTCTCAACCATGTCTGTAAGATCTTCATCATGATCATTTTCTTTTTCTTCTATAGATTCTATATGTGAAAATATTTGTTTTTGGATTGGTTTTTTAACTAATTTATGTCTTCTTATCTTAAGTTTCCCTTGATGTGCAAGTTTTGTTCTTTTTTGATTACTTCTTTTAATTATACTAATTTTAAGTTTTTTCTATTTAATTAAAAAATTTAAATTAATAAAGAATATAAATAATAATTTTTTATAAAAAAGATTTACATGTTTTTATAAAACATATATATATGTTAGGTTAACGTTGTTATTTTCGAATAAAATAAATTATTATTACTTACTGCCATTTTTAGTTGTTTTAACTATTTTATTTAATTTAATCTAATATTTTTATTTAAGTTTATTTAAGTTTAAGTAAATTATTGATTCAAATAATTAAACTTTTTTTATTTTTTCAGAAATCATTCCTATAAAATATATTTTTAATGCGACACGTGCTTTTACATATATCAATATATAATACATATCACATAAAATTGTATACATATATGCATATATATATTAAAATAAAAATTTATATAATAAATAAAATAAATTTAAATAAATGGATAATTTTATCTATCTTTAAATAGTTTATGTAATTTATTTAATTTATAGTTTATTGAATAATTTATATTTTAATTTTTTATGATATGTTTTTCAAATACACGTGTGATTATAAGCATAGTAGAAATATAGTGCGTTTTAAATCCAGATATTTTATCGAGAACTTGAAATTAAATTGTTTTTTTGCAATACTAAATTTTTAAATATTTCTGATATATTTTTAAATATAATGATATCGTCAAATATAATTTAAAGAATACATTAAAAAATATATAAAAATATTATAATTTTTGACATTGGATATATAAAATTCACTTCAATATTTTAATTAACTTAATGTTTTGTGTTGTGTAATTATAAGGATTTTCTTCAAATATCTATATTGAGTAAGTTATCATTTATTAAGTTTATAAATAAGTTTATATATAAAATTAGAATATTTTACAAATTAAGGTTATGTTTCATAAGTATATTTTAAAATTATAATATAAAATAGTTAAATTACATTATTGAATGAAATCTGAATTTTTTATTAATTTAATACAATATTTTTATAATACAAGAACAAAATATTAACAATTTTTTATCAAATCTTTAATATTTTTAATATTTCATTATTCCATTAATACAAAATGTCCCATTTTTATTCATTTTAAATATTTCGAAACATTTTAATGTTTTTTGATTTTTTTAATTTAAAAAATATTCTACTTATAATAATATAATAAAAAATATGAATTTTAATTGATTTTATTTTTTCAAAGTTATAAAAATAAAGAAATATAATTTTTCTATTATTTATTGATAACATTCATCTCAAATATTTTTCCAAATGTTTCATATCTTTCAAAATACTTGTTTGAGGTTATAAATACTTATGAAATATTGAGTATATCTTTTTAAATATTTATAAAAAATATTATTTTTTATACATAATAGTGAAAATACATAATATATTATTATACATAATAATAAATAATAATGACGATGATAAAAAAATGACAAACGAGAAATTGCAAAAATAATAAATATTTGTAATATTTATGATAAAAGATTAATAATAATCATTAAATTAATAATAATATAATAATTGAAAAAATCATATCAAATCAAAAAAATGATCAATTGTTTTATGTTTAGTCTGAGAAAGTAATGCATATAAAAAAAGAAAGCATATATAAATCTCGCATGAAATCATTCTTTCGTAAGTATTTGAACTACCAATGAAACTTCTTGAATATACAGACAAAGAATCTTAATGTACTATTCCAAATTGATGTACAATGAAGTCTGACATAAAACGTTAATAGCTTTCAATAGGATTAATTTACGAATTGCATGGAACTAAACTGAACATCAGGTCATACCGATTTTGTAACTTAAGATGTTTATTTGGTATAAAGTGCAGTGTATAGATTTATTATTTGTGTGTTATTATTTTTTTAAATTTAATTAAATATTTTAATGTTGATTTAAATATGTAATTATTAAACTTTATAAATTCAAATTATTGTTATTGCAGTAGATAAGTGTGTATTAAAACATCTTAAGTAAATTTATAAAACATTTCTTTTATATAGTATGAAGAAACTTAAGTGTTACTTTAAGTATAAACTATAAGTATAAATAATATTTTAATTATTTTTTAATTTGAGCAATAAAATTACTCCGAAATTCTATTGGCTTATTCAGAGTAACGCCACATTTATTCTGGCCATCATGCATTATATCTACAGCTTTGTGAAAAACTATGATATGTGTTGCATAACTATTTCCAAATATTAATCTTATCATTTCTAAATTAATATTGATAAATAATCATGTTTAATAGCAAAAAGAAAAGTGACACTGCCAAACTGATTATTTGCGTTCGTGTGGATGTTTGCGACATATACCACGTGGTTCTTGGTGACTGAGATGTAGTTGTAATTCGACTTTTGTGGCGGCCACATCGATGTACGAATAAAATTGAAAGTAGTCCTTTATTTCTTATTTTTAATAAGATTCTTTTTTTGTGAAAACTTTAATCTAACATTCTATATAATTTGAAGCAATCTTTATTATATAAAGAATAGGATTATATTTTTCTTCATAAAATTCGAATTTTCATTATTAAAGTTATTGAAACTCATCATTGGAATTATTGAGGTATTTCTTTTTAAAAAATAATTGTATTTATTTTCCAATGTTGTTTTAAGTTGAATTAGTTATAAAAAAAGGATAAAAATAATTACATTGACAAAATAAAAATATTGAGATAAATTACATCTCACGAATTATAATATTGCATCTAGATTTCTACCCATTTTACCGCCATTATTACCACTATTTTTTGGACTTGAGTTATGAAATAATCGTTGATGTCGAAGATAACCAATATCGTGGACTATTGTATCGAATATTGAAATCTCAATAACATTCATTATTTTTTTTCTTTCTTTAAAACATTTATTCAATTAGATAAAAATTTCAAAGGATTAGATTTAATTGGATTAGATTTAAATAAGTATTATTGTAATTACAATAATTAAAATCAATATAGTAAAATATATTTTTGCATTTGTAAATATAAGAAAAAAAAAACAAAATCATGTGAAAAAAATTGCAGTGCTGCTTTTTGATTATGACATATGAAGTTATTTACAAAAAGATAAATGCTGTTGGATGATCTAAAAATTTGTGCACGCATTTAATGTTTGAATTTCATCTAAAAAATACATTCTATTATGTTACATCAAATATCGAGGTATATTGCATTAGTTAACCGAGTCAGTGAACTGCCTTCGATGAATATTGTCTGTGGTTACTTAACGTATTGCAATAGAAAGTCGGCGTTTGTCGCGATCAAAGTATAGTCTTTTGTACATTGCTTTTATTTTCAAAGGTTTGTTAAAAAGTTTTAATCAACGGATTGTGACAAAGTGTATGAATACAACAACGCCAGAATAATAATCATCGATCAGATCTATGGATCTCGACGAAGTGATCATTGGTTCTTTTCTCACGGTAATTGACGCGTTGGATCAAAGTTTACACGATCGTCAATATTCGTGATCAAACGAAGGAGATAAGTGATGATTAAAACCATGAAAACGAGCAGTTGATCTCCTACGTCTTGCGGATGAAACGAGAGCTCTAGTTTTGTTTTCTTCTTTCGATGAAAAAGAGCGTCGCGACTATCCTCAACACGGAAATGGGTGGTCTTGTTGAAATTTTCTTTTTCTTCGGAGTCCTCTACTATTTTTTCAACTTCAGGTAATGTATTTACCCCAAGTTCTGACATGAAACTGTTTTATTTTGCGGATTGTTTTTTCGCAATTCTATACAAGATACAAATTTAATAATCAAATAATCAAAAAATAATTGAAATATCGATCAATAATTGTAATAATTCAACTACAATAAAATTAATAATATAAAAGTAATTTATATATAATAAATTTTATACAATAAATTTTTGTATATATATGATAACGGTGCAATTAAAAATTTTCATCATATTTTTTTACTTTTATATATATTTGATATATTTTTAGATTATTTTATTTTTATAACTATTTATATAATTATTTTATAATTATTTTATAATTATTTTATAACGTTTTGTAATTTTTAAAATTATTTTAAAATAATTATATTTTTAATATAATAATACTATAATATAGTTAATTATGATATATATGAAAAATTGTTAGAATAATTTAATAAAAAATTTTTTTTTATAGAAAAAAATTTCCTTTTGAGTGATAAGCATTCATTTATATTAACAATGTTTATTATTTTTTAATAATTATTTTTAATTAATTATATATTCAATTAATTTTGCATTTAATTTATTATTTTTTCTTGTAACCAAACAAAAATATTGTTAATATTTATAAATATTAAAATCGCCTTTCAAATTTAAATCTATATATTAAATTGTGAATAAGAATATACCAAATATTAAATAATATATATATTATACTAACTATTAACTATAATTTATAATATATTAATTAATATAAATACTGAAAATAATTTTTTTAAATATATAGAATAAGTTTGATATCATAATGTGTAAGACATTGATCATTCGTAGAACAAAGTATAAGCATTGCAAATTTGCGTAATGTAATATTATATACAATATATATGTATTAGAATATAAGATAAATTTTAATCAAAAATTTTGAATGGCAATAAAATGTTATACAAGGTTTCAACCCCGATAACTTTATTAATCAAAGTTTTCATAATGATATATCGTATGACCATAAAGACTTTAGAAGAACACATATCAGTTAAGCTAATTTTTTTTTTATATGTGATATATTTATCTTTAATCTTTTTTTTAATATTTGTTGTAAACTTTGGTATTTATGTAATTCGGAATCAGAATTGCAAAATATATATTGTTTTTACTTAAATTTTTGATTTGTACATCGGTGAAATTATTAATCAGTTTCATAAGAAAAGCGGGAATATAGAAAAGAAGAGAAATATATAATCGAGTTAATATTAATTATTTATTGATATTATTAGAGAAAAACAAGTTTTTATGGCATTATGAATTTGTTCGGGTTTTTTTGTCTTATGATGCATTTTCTTATACTAACTAATATCAAGTTAATTAATTATTTATTGATACCAAGGAAAATCAAGTTTTTATGACATTGAAAATTACGATTTACTTGGATTTCTTGCTTTATGATGTATTTTCTTATCGATTTAAACTTTGATAAATGTTTTCTATATATGTATGATTTAATTTATTAAAAATATTATGAACGCGATAAATATGTTCATTGAATCAATGTTATTTAACATATGCAATCATTGAATTCATTTTTTTTTAATATATATTTTTGTATACGTATATATAAAAACCGATATACAACATTATAAAAATAAACATGTACTACAACAAATTTATAATTTATGACTAATATGAAATGCAATATTTCAATATTCATTTATATAACTGATATTCAATACGTTCTTGCATATACAATTTCAGATCAAATGGCTATATATTCCTTTCCTTGAGTAATATAGATTTAATTATTTTATAAAATTGTCTTAATATCCAATGTTATACATGATAAAATCCTGTGTTTATTATAATTTATACATCTTTGAAACTTTTTGGAAGTAAACATGAAAAATAATTTCAATATAGGTATAATTTAATATTTCAATATATTTAATATATTATAATCATTAATTATAACAATAAAAAATATATTATAAAATCAAAATTTAAAGATCTAATAGACAAAATTATTTAAAATTATTATACTGCATAATTATTTAAAAGAGAATTATAATGTATTCTGAAATTTTAAAATAATCGTTATTGCATGTTTCAACAAAATTTTTTACATAATGTTAAAGACTTTTGATTTGCGTCAATAATAATTCGATACTATTAATTAACTAATCGATTTTCGACACGTGTTTATAATTTTCTGTTTTTTGATACGTTCAGAAATTTTTATTATGATAAAATATATTTTTATTTATTTATCACAAATTAATTTATCACATATAAAAGTATTCGTCAAATCAAAAGTATTATCAAACAAAAAAAAAAAGGCTTCATCTGCTCGTTGTGATTGCACTCAACTGTATCGACCCGTTAAAAACGTTGAAGATGGAACGTAAATAATATGCGATTGCATTCAAAAGCAAAATCCGTGAAATTGTATTTGAATTATATTCGAATTACATTTAATTCATCTTTGTTGAAATGCATGAGATATCAGACTTATCAATTACAAAAATAAGAATATTTCTATTTTGATTTCATTCAATATACATGATATAATTGCATAAAATAATTTTTTCATTTGAAAAAAAAAAGATTAATATCGATCAATATTTGATCAATTTCTTTTTTAAAATTTTATATTTTATATTATAAGGAAAAAAATTTCTATAGTTTCTAAAAATTATTTTTAAATTATAATTACAATAATAGAGCTTCCAGTATGGTCGATATACTTTCAACACGTTTGCAAGAAGTATATGCAAAATGGGAAAGTAGAACAGAGGTAATTCGAAATACAGAATCGAATACAACTCGATTTTCAATAAGGGGTAAGATTTTCATTTAGGAAGTAGATAAATAAGTAAAAAAAATATTTTAATCAAATATTTATTTTTTAGAACTTCGACGAACAGGTCAACAATTTTATAAAAAAAAAATACAAGACAGAGAACAAGCAAAAAAAGTTCGAGAGAATTCTTTATTTAAAATTAAAGAGACAGAACCATTAGTTCCTGTTGTTAAAGAAAAATCTCCGTTTCTAAACTATTGCTGTAATAATTGTACTCCATCATCTAGAGTAAGTTTTATATGAGAAGAATAAGATTATATTATTTTCTAAGAAAGATATTCGATATATCGCTTAAATCTATTATATACTATTTTGTATATAAAATTGTATATAAAATTTCCGGTAGGAATATAAAATGATTTTAATAACAAAATTAATTTTTAAAATATACATCAGAAAAAAATATTACTTCAAAAATAGTGATTAACATTAAAAAATCTATATCTTAGATAAATAGCATCGTTCGTATTGACGTATGCTTACGCTCTTGCAACATTAAAATATATTTAGCTTGTGGCCTGGTAACTAAGCTACGTGCAAATTGCGAACATTGTCGTTTGATATATGTTTTTTTTTTATGTAAAATATTATGTATATCATTGATACTATGTAGTTTAAAATCATTTAAAATAAATTTTTTATATCGGTAATGATAGTTTGATATATGTACAATAAATAAAATTATGTAAAGCTTTTATAGATAAATAGATGAATATGTAATTATAAATCTTTTCTTATCTAATGAATACGATATCTTTCATATATTTTCATATATTTCATTTCGTATATGTAATTATATATACATATACATCTAATTTATTAGACTATGACAATATGTTTGATAAATAAAATATCTATATCAATATTTATATATATAATAATATTTTACGTATGTAAAAATTTAAACGTGTAATTTAATTAAATATATTTAATTTTTAATTTTTATGCCAAATACAAAATATTGCGTATCCTTCAATATAATAGTATAATAGAAGGAATATACAAGAAAATATGAGAAAGAAGAAAGTATTGTTATCGAATAATTATGATTGATAAAAGTCATGTACTTTCGATAATAAAAGTCCATTTCTTTTATAATAATTAAATATAAATGAGTTATTTTATTACATTGACGATCTATTAGTAATTGATTGTAGAAAATTAGATGTAAAATTTTTACTAATAATGAACTCTACAAGTATATAATTATACAAATATAAACAATAAATTAAAAATATAAAATATTGGAAAAACATGATTTTGAAACATGATCAAAATGATTTTCAAGATGATTGCATATTATTGTAATATATTTATTTAAAAAAAATCGTGTAATAAATAATTATAATATTTAGTATCTTTCTTAATGTTTCAAAGGATTAAATTAACAATAATTCAATGAAAAAATATTAATTTATATAGACTTTTACTAATTTCTTATCTATTTTTTTTATATATATATAACCTTTTTTTTTGTTATTATTTTTGTTATTGTTGTTTTTCATTTAATTTTATTTCTTCTAGAATTCATTGGTAAATAATATTAGCAAACAACATACTCCTTTTGGTTTAAATATATTAATAGTTAATCCAGGCTTATCACTATTCTCCAAAGTATTTGATTGTTTTTCACATGTATACAATCTTAAAACATTTAATTATCCAAGAGTGACTGAAACAGTAAGTTGCAAATTTAAAAATATTTACAAAAATAAAAATTGGAATTAAATTAATTAAAAAAAATTAATTAAAGACTTTATATATAATTTTTTTTTACAGGTCTTAAGAGATGAAAAATTAAAAGAAGCAATCAAATTGACTGCTTGGGAAACAGTTAATAATGAGGGTTGTAGTGAAAAAATTGCCTTGGCAAAAGGAAAAGCTAAAGCTAAAGCTATACTACTTCAAATGCAAAACAAAACAAGCAATTTTTTACTTAAAATAACTACATGGATTGTTTATAAAGTGTTTCCGTATTTTATACAATCTACTGTAGTATTGCCATCTCAAATAGAAATGTTAAAAAAAGCAAGTGAGACTGGTCTTCCTTTGATATTACTTCCCTTACATCGTAGTCATCTGGATTATGTTATATTAAGCTTCATTCTTGTGACAAATAACATTAAAAATCCATTGATTGCAGCTGGTGAAAATTTACAAATTCAATTGTTTGGGTATGTCATAAATATATAAATATAGATTATCAAATTTTATTAGATATTAATATCTTAATTATAATTTTTTTAATTATATTTTTTATCTCAAATAGGTGGCTCTTACGAGGTTTAGGCGCATTTTATATAAAACGTCGAATTGATTCTATTTTAGGCCGTAAAGATATTCTTTATCGTGCTATTCTTCACACGTACATAATAGAAAGTTTAAAGGCGGGTCATAATTTAGAATTTTTTATAGAAGGTGGACGAACTAGAACTGGTAAACCATGTATGCCAAAAGGCGGCATTTTGAGTGTCGTTCTTGATGCATATATGCATGGAACTATTGAAGATGCACTCATTGTACCTGTTTCAATTAATTATGAACGTATTGTTGATGGAAATTTTATCAGGGAACAGTTAGGTCAACCAAAAAATGTAGAAACATTTATATCTACAATTAAAGCTATGTGGTCAACTTTAATAGGAAATTATGGGATTAATCAAGTTGATTTCTGTCAACCATTTTCACTTAGAGTATGATGTTTAAATATTTTATATTTAATTTATAATATTGCATGTTCTACATTTTCTTAATTATATATCTTTATTATTATTTGTGAAAAGGAAATGTTAACATCTCTTCAAAACCAACCACAATTGACTGAAAGAAAAACACTTCCTATTGAAAAATGTTTAAAATCTACAGTATCTAGCTCATCATTGTATGGTACAGACGTAGTTGCAGAAGAATATCGTCAATTAGTTGATAGTATTGCGAAACATATTGTATATGGTAAAAATATATTAATAATTTTAAGAATATTAATTTATTTGTTTTATATTAATGTATAATATTTTTTTATATTAGATTGTACTAGCTCAATGCCAATAATGTCAACTAATGTTGTTGCATTTTTACTTTTAAATAAATTTCGAAATGGTTGTACCTTAGATGAATTAATTGAAGCATTTGATTTAATTATTCAGGAACTAGAAAAACGTAATAAAAATATTATGTTTTATGGAGAAACTATTAATATCATAGATCATGCGGTTAGTAAAATAATTAAATTATAAATATTATGTTAAAAAAATATATTATTTAAAAAAAAATGTATAAAATTTATTTTTTTAGTTAAACATCTTAGGTCCTAATTTAGTAGAACTACAAAATCAAGAAATTACAGAAGCAGTTGATGGTCAACTAATTAAGTCAAATTTTATTACCGTAATCCGTCCTGTATCGATTCTTCCAAATGTAATCGAGTTATCTTATTATAGCAATACAGTGTTAACATGTTTTGTTATGGATAGTATAGTAGGTAAGAAAATACATTATTTTATATTTCATTCAATCTAATAATCTGATTAATATATTTTCAGTGACAGCTTTATATGCTGAATTGCAATCACAGATAAATGATCCTGTACATATTACTCAAAATAATATTACAGTGTCTCAAGATGTTCTGATTGAAAAGTCACTTAAACTTTGTAATATTCTTAAATATGAATTTATTTTTTGTAAACCATGTCAAGAATTGGAACGTATTATTATAGAAACTATAATGAATCTCTCACATACAGATCTCATTACTTTACAAGAGGTATCATATATTTGATATGATATACTTATTTCATTATTTAAAATTTACTTATATAAATTATTTGGTAGGAATCTTATTTACAAGAAGAACTTTGGAGTAAAAGATATGCAAAAACTTTTGATGATAGTTCGGATGAAGAATATTGTAATAAAAATAAGACAAAAAATATTCAATATAAAGTAAGTAATTTTTTAATTTAAATATATTTTTTAATAATGAGATAGTAATGTATTTTAATTGTTTTTTTACAGCTGAATTTAATACCAGATCATACGAATCGTATGGAATTTCTTCATGTATCATTGCAACCTTTAATTGATACTTACACTTTTAGTGCTTTTATTCTTAGGAAATTAGTAGGGCGATCATTATCCGAAAGAGACTTAATTCATGAAATTATTCGTGAGTTAAAAACGAATTTTAGTCGTGGCATAATAAAATATGGTAAATAATGATAAATAATTATATTTGTATAAAATATATTAGATTATAAATTAATGTATTATCAATTATATTTTAAAATAGGTGAAAGCTTATGTGTGGATCCAATAAAGAATGCTTTGAAATTATTTGAAAAATGGAATGTTTTAGAATGTCATCCAGAAGAGAATATTAAAATTTTTTACTTAAAAGACGAATATAATACAGACTCAGCGGTAATGAAAATTTATGATAATATAGCAATTTTCAAATGGATCAAAAAAGAAAAGTAAACAAATTTTTTAAATAAATTTCTATAATAATGTATTATTTTTTATATGAAAAGACAAGTTGTTTAAAAAGCTTGTATATAATGATATACAAGTATCAGGTAATGTGTAATTCTTAGTACATTTAAATTTAAAAATTTATTATTCTGCGTGTAGATACTTTGTGAATAGTTCTAAAGTATGTAGCATTGTACATAGCATTAAGTCTTATAAATATTTTAGTTATTAGTTATATGTAAAAATTCCATATCAAGTGATTAATGTGATATTACTAAATCATCAAAAATTATTAAAAATTAATTAATTATTTCATTAATAAAGCTAGTCTTACGTATTATTGGATTAGCACCAATGAATTCTTTTGTTAATATTAAAAGAAAAAAAGATATTATAATATATATTTAAAAATGTAAAACTATTTTTATTATATTTTCACAAAGCAATAAGATGATTAAATAAATAATTGTTTTGTATAAAATAGTTTGTATAAAAGTTTTTTTTATATACAATATTATAAAAAAAATAATAAACAAAACAAATATGTGAATGTTGTATTTTTTAATATTAAAGAGAATTAAAATTAAAAATGTGTTATGTATATACTTATATATATTTCAAAACTTTATAACTGACGCAATCGGGTAACTTCTTCGCATTCCCATACATTTTTCTCTGTCAATAAATAATGCATCAACCTTAGATTTTAAATCAGTTTCTAAATTAGATCTAGTCCGTAAAAGTTGTTGATGTTGTGCTTCGAATCTTTGTAATTTTAAATTCATATCATGTATCGTCGAATTTATCGTTTCTACTTCCTCGATCATTCTGTATAAATAAAAATGTAATATTTAAAAGTATTATCATTAAATTCTAGATAAATTTCTCAAATATACCTAAGTTGAGCATAATCTTTACACAATTCTGCAGCTGGTCGATGTGTTCTGCTTTCTAAACGAGTATGTGCCACTTTAAGAGCAGAACTTTTATCTGTGATAGCTTTTTGTATTAATTGCAAATTCTTTTCAACCTCAAATATTTCTTGTTGAATCTATAGTTAATACGTTAATTAAAAAACAAAAATTTATGGATAAAGACAATTTTAATTACTTTATGTAAATGTATTTGTAATTTTTCTTTTGCTTCAAGCATTTCTGCAGCTCTTCTAGCTAACGCATTATTTGTATTTCCCCACGCTTCCCACATTTCATGTCCAACTGCATTTATTGCAATTTCTATATCACTTCGTAATTGATTGGATTTTTCTCGTTCTGTTTGTGATTTTTTTACTAGATTATTGGAAGCTTCAATCCATGATTCAGCTTCTGTAACACTTAAGATTTATTAATGTAAATTATGATAATAAATGATATCTTAACATGAACTTACCTGGGATCATATTTTTCAATACCACCGTAATATTTTAATCCACGACTAAAATTATTCATTTGATGACATGTAATATCAATTCCAAGTGCAGTTTCTTTATTTTTTATATCAATTTCTAATTGATTTTGTACTGCTCTACCATTAGTGAGCTGAATATACAACAAAGTGATCATAATAATTAATATGAAATTGTAATTCGGTATCTTACCTGGTTATTACATTTATCTGTAAAATGTTCTAATTTATTTTCGCAATTTCTAACTACTTCCACTTCTTTTAAAAGAGCATGTTCAGCTTGATCATGTACCAAATCAGAACCTTTATACATTTTTTGATATATATAAAATAGAATATACATGTAAGTTTCTAATTTAGAAATAAATATATCAAACCTGTTCTAGCTTCACGATAGTATAAACATTCTTGCGCAATATGCAATTGACCTTCTAAACTTTGTATTGTTATTTGTAAATTTCGACGACATTCTTGCATTTTTGCATTTTCTATTATTAATCTTTCCAATTCTGAAGCCATTTCATTTCTCCAGAATGTAGTATCCGTAATTCTTTCTCCTAATTTACGACCGGTTTCAATTTGACCTTTTTGTACTTTTTCATCGGTTTCTCTAAAATTGTATTAATTTTTCTATAATATATTGTTAATATCGATAATACATCAAAGATAATAATAGTTTTACCGCATTATTCGAACGGTATCCTGTCGTAAATTTTCGGAAAAATTTCTATTGCTATCTGATTCATTATAAAGTCTTAACTGATTTTGTACCCATTCATATGGGCCATATCTTGTAAAAAGTGCAGTTCGTGCTGCATGAGCAGGATTTCTATCAAAACCTGTCACCAAATTTGGAAATCGTAACGGTTCCGTAGCCATCCCTTTTGGCATATAACAAGTATTAGCGAGTAAATTTGTTATAGGTTGTGCAGGTCTAAAATAATGATTAAAAAAAAAAAATAATTTGTAATATAAATAATTAAAAGAGTTATTTACTTAAAGAAAAAGAGCTCTTTTATTTAAAAAATTCTTACAAAGGAGATGCTTCTATCATTTCATATCCTAAAGTAGGACGCCATGGATGCGGTTTTGGAGTTTTATAGAATTCTCCAACTCTAATTGGAATTGGTGGGCCAGCAATTTGTTCCATGCATGGTAGTACTCCTACAGTACTCCATGGTTGTAGTTGCTAATTATTAAAAAATTGATAATATTAAGAGAGTTATTATTATTATCATCATTATCTGAATTCATTATTTAAATTCATAACAAACCGAATACATAACAGTTTCTCCTTTTGATCCAATTTTGTTATTATCCATGATTCTAATTTAAGTTAAAAGATTATAATATTTACGAAAATTTTATTTCTACGAAATAATTTTTTACATTTCCCTCAATTTAATAAACAATTTCATAGAATAAATTGATTTAATTTAATATGAAGGTATATTTGAAATCCGGAAACAATGTTATCACGTGACGTTTGTCATATGATTCTAGCCTAGGATCAGGTGGTGTTACCTTCTATTCGTTCACAGTCGATCAGTACTTGTCTAGTTTGCTCAATTCTGTTTAACTAAAACATCATGACACGATTTTCTAATATTTGTTATTTCGTTTTTATATTAACCGTTGCATTTCAAATTTTATTTTCACATGCTGATAATGCAGTCCCTGTATTGCTATGGGGTGGATCTGTTAATTCTGATTTAATACAGACAGGTGCAGTGAATCCCTTTTTAAAGACTACTAGCGAAGAATTTGATCTTTTTCTGCATAAGAAATTAGAAAATTCACCTCCCGTTCTTCTGTATATAAAAGATAATTTATGTATCGAAGATTTAGTAAAACACAAACAGGTTATTATAATATATTTAAATAATTATTTAGTTTGAATTCATTTGCTTTTTTATTTAAATATTAATATAATTTTTTAAACTTTTTAGCATCTTCAAAAAGTTATTACTTCAAAAAGTTATTTTCCTGCTGTTGAGAAAGCAATGAATACTGTTGAAAACTTACCTTTTTATAATCAAACCTATAATGATTATATGGATTCAATATCTGATGGGCAATTATTGATTATTCCAATTAATAATTTAGATATTATTCCTGAAACATATAAGACAATAAGAGATTCCAGTCCTAATTTGATAGCTATACTCACAGGAAAAGCATGTAATTATAGACGTTCTGAACGAGTAAAGAGAGACATTCTTACAAATAATAGAGATAAACATTTTATTGTTTCATCACACAGAGTGTTATTATATTCTAGTCAACCATTATTATTAAAGGTAATTTCAATCATTATTTCAAGCATTCTATTTTATAATTCATTTAATATATTTTTATGAATAATTTTTATTTTCAATAGCTTGAAAACAATAAAGATGAAATAGAACTTCTTAATTTCACATCATATAAAGATGAACCAGGTACAAGAAAATCTTCATCTAATTTAATTCTGACCTTTAATGAAACTATGGATCAACATGAACTTGTTTTTATGTTTGAAATTAAAACTGCAGGCTATTTTACATTAAAAACAGTTCAATATACATATTATATAAATTCAAAACTTTCAAATCAACAAAATTTAATAACAAATACAGATATTGTTTTTCCATTTAATTTTTCTTATCACTGTTCACAAAATATTATATTTAAAAATGATACTATTAGCTTACGCATTACAGATTTGCAAGTGCAACTTATTCCAGAAAATAAAAATAATACAAGAACTTTTAATGATGCATATGATTGTGTTGGTTTTACTTCAATTCCAATTTGGACAGGAATATTTGTTACTGCTATATTAGCTTTAATTATGATTTGGGCACTTACTATGATTATAGATATTCGTACAATGGATAGATTTGATGATCCTAAAGGAAAAACAATTACTATTTCATCTCAAGAATAATATAAAAATATCAAATTATTAAAAATATTATGTACATATATATCTTAATATTTCATAATTTAATAAATTGTTAAATTTTCAGTTTCATATTAATATATATATAATATATATTAAGATTGATTAAAATTAATGCCATTAATTTTTCAAATAAATTTAATTGTAATAAATGATTTTAACCTGATGTAATAATTCATTATAATGATTATAAAATTAATCATTCCATCTAATATTTTACTATTTTCAGTATTTGTATAATTATTATATTAATGTACAATTTTATAAAAAAAATTGATTTCTATTGCTAATAAAAAACTACTATAATGTCTACTAATAAATAACTTAGTAAATATACCATATATATAATGTTATGATTAATAATTATTTATAAATGTCAAAATTTTAAAAAAATTTCTCTATATTATCATATGTTATATGTTGACTTTAATGAGATATATATATATATATATATAAATAATATTAATATAATTATTTGTATTTATAAAAATACATATAATACATGTAAACAATATCTTATAAAACTTATTTATATTCTTTTAATTTAATAAAAATAATTAAGTTTTATCTTCTTTAATTTTTCTTTAGCCATTGATATCATAATAAAATTTACAATAAAAATATTTTATAACTTAAGTAATTTATAACTTCGAATTAATTCGAATAACAAATAAAAATTTAATGTAGCATCTATAATTATACATTATATCGTCGTATATTATCGAATGATTTTACACAAAATAATAAATTTAATACAAAAAAAAAAAAACAAAAAATTGATTACATTTAAATTTTGTATTTATATTTATTATAATATTTTTCTATTGTTTGTAACATTGTTTGTTATAGCATCTATAAAATTTTTTATGTAAAAAACGTACAATATATATAAAATTTCATCAAATTTATTATTATTATTATATATTTATATATGACATGCTGGAACATATGCACCATGTATTACAATGAATATCATGGAATAAGATGGTAAAGTAATTAATTCTGTGGATTCTAATATTATAGGTTGAAATAATGGCAAACTGCCATTAGATTGCAATTTCAATACTTCTCCATTTATTTTTATATCTCTGAAAATAAATAGAGTTAGAAAAATTAAATTTAAATTAAAATTAAATTTATTTTTTTATAATTATTACATACCTTGATTGTAAATTATTAGAAGTGAGTGCATACAAAAATACTTTAGAATTTTTATGAAATATAGGAATTCCTTGAATAGTTACATTAATAGAATATTTATACAAATTAATTCCATATATTGTAATTGCTACAATTTTATTAATCCATGATTTCTCAGGAGTGCAATGTGCATAAAGTCGTAAATAATCAAAAGATGTTGATGATAATTTTAATACTTTTTCTGAAACAAATTTTTTATAAATTACACTAACCCACCAGTCTGGATTTGGTGTAAGATCAGGTCCAATCATAGCATAATTTCCACCAAATAATGATTGTCTAATAACAGTATTTAATCCTGCACTAGCACTGTATCCCAATTTATCAAGCCATAGAAATCCAGCCACAAATCTATTTGACAATTTTGGAGCACCTCCACCATAAGCTGTACTTGTTTCTGCTATAAATGATTTATTTATTAAAATTTATTCAATAAATTTTATTTTATTAGTATAATTTTAAAAAAGCTAATAGAATTATATAATGACATACATAACCACATAGGAATAATTTTTTCTGATGATTGAATTGCTTCTTGCATAGATTTAATTTGTTTTGGCAAATAATTAAAAGTTGAAATATTTATAAAATCAATTAATTTAGCTTCTTTTCCATTCAAATAATACTGATGCCAAGTGACATAGTTTATACTATTTTTATCATTTTCTAAAAATGTTTTTGCATAATGTTCTCCTATATGATTTGTATCTCCTATATGATTTACTTCTGGACCCACAAGAAGACTCTCACTATATCCTATTTCATTTAATAATTGCCTTAATTGATGATAATCATATGCAAGTTGAATTGCAGTAATATTCATATTAAATACATGATGGAAAGAATTTGGTTCTAGAAATTTTATCATTATTAATCAATTTATTTAAAAAATAAGTAAGAAATATATAAAAAATAAAATTATAACATTACCATTTCCTAGTTGCCAATCTATTTTCATATTTTTACTTTTGGCAAATGAAATTATATTTTTAGCATTAATATCATCCCAAGAGCCATTAATATTTCTAATTAATACATTTAAATCGAATATCATTCGTAATTTTGATTTTATTGAAAAATTATATAAATTTTCAAAATCTTTTTCATTAATTGTAAAATTAGTTATATCTTGCCCATCCACTGGATTAATTACTTTTTCAGAAATTATCCATATTGTCTATATAGTATAATTTATATAAATTTATATAAATATATATAATAACATCTTTTATTATCTCTATTATTCATTTTAGTTTCAGTTATTCACGAAATCTTAGAAACTATCTTTGCGAATATGACCATCTTATTGTACATAAACAGGATATCCCAAAAATATCCGTTAACTGCAGATTCTTAAGGTAATTTTAAGCAATATTTTTCTTTATAAAAAAAACTTTCATTATAGTTTTTTAACAAGTTATTAATAAAAAACATTGATTAACCATGGAACGCAATAGATTAAACTGTGATGGTAACGTTAGGCACGTATCGCCGACTGAAAACAAACAAATTCAAGTAATATTGCTTGAATTTATTTGTTAATTAGTTTATGCACTTTGTAATTGGTTAATGTTTTTGTTAATAATTTATTAATAACAAAACTATAATTTGCAAAGAAAAATGTTTCTTAAACTTATCTTAATTAATCAGTGAATCTTCAATTAATTAGTATCCCACATTTTTGGAACATTCTATACATATATAAATTTATCTTTAATATAATAATGAATCTACCTGATTAAAATATAAACAATCAGCAGATGTACCTCCTATTCGAATATAAGCTGGTGCAAGATATTGAGCTAAATTTATAAATTTGTTATTTTTAATTGGAAGATTTTTCATATCACGAAGTAAAGATGTATCAAGACCAAATGATAAAAATTTGTTTGATACTATATGTAAAAGTGAACGTTTTGACTTTAAGTAAAATACATAAGTGTTATTTTTTGGATTTATTGTATTATCAATATTCCATAGTGATAATATTATAAATATCATGCAGAAACTCAAAAAAATAAGTCCAATAAAAGCTGGATGTAGTGTTGATTCTGAAATTTAAAAAAATTTAAAAAAGATATAAAAATATATTTTATTATAGTAATAAATAGATTAGATATATTTGAAATTCAAATTTTAAATATTCAAATATTTATTACTATTATTATTAAATATTCAAATATTTAATATTAATATATATTTAATATTTAATACTATAATATTGTATGTTAAGGTATGATTACACATTTATATGATATATTTATATTTTAATATTTTAACAATAATTATTGGTAAATTAAAGTAAAAATTATGCAAAAAATATTTTCAAGTAATATATAATTTAAATCACTTACGAGTTCGAATTTCACCAATTTTTTCATACTGATTTTTACCACAATCATTGGTTATAAAGTAGCTCATAATTTGTGCAATTTCTTGTCTGTATGTTTGAAAATAATTTTATTAAATTGTATTAAATATTGTAATAATTTATTCAAAGCAATTATAATAATAAAAGCATTCTACTTATATTTAATAAAATATTTTTTAATAAAACTTTAATTGATTGATTTCATTTATACTTCACTTAAATTTTAAAAATAATAAGATGATAAATATATAGATGATAAATATATAAGATGATAAATATATATATATGCAATTTAAATTAATGTTCAATATTTTAAGAAAAAATTTTTATGTTATTTTTTTTGTTAAATAATCTTTTGACAAAGTCTTTTATTCATGAAAAATAAGATACCTTTGGATTTATTTCCGATTAATATTTTTATTCTTTGTACAAATAGTTTTACCATTATTTAAATAAGAAGTTCCTTTTTTTCGTGCATATTTCTTCTTTGCTTTATTATACCCGATTTGTTCTATATTGAATTGTTTTGTAAATTGTTCCCGTCTAAAAACTATAATAATTATATTAAAATGATATAGAATTTATCTCTTATATACTATGTTTATTTTAAATATACTATTATTATACTATTATATATAATTATATACAAAATAAAAAAATACATAATATAATTTATAATAATTTATAAAAAATACCTCCAGGTGAAATTCGTTCAGATAATGAATCTAAACTAGAACTTGATGATTGAAAAAGTAAAGACCGACTTCTGTGTACTGCAATACGATTACGATAAGATAAACTACGCCGACGTTTCTGTTTTTCGTTTAATTGCTGCTTTGATTCTGAACTACTTAATTCATCTTCAGCCCAGAATGGTCGATCAGTGTCATCGGATATTGGTGGTGTTGGTGTGGGTGACTTAAATATAAGATCATATAAATAAAAATGTATTATTTTTAATATATGATCTTAATAATAACTTACAATTCCTTGAGAAATTCCAAATATAAAGTATTGTTTATTTCTATCTTCTAATTGATTTAATATTCCAACAGATACTGTAGTACAAGATGATTGATTTTCATAACCTTCATCATCGTCAGAAGTTTGTATTATTTTTCGTGTATCACCGCTGGCATAATAGCCCATTATAAAGTTTTTTTAAATTTTAACAAGTTATACGACTATAAAGTTTAAATTTCTTACGTATGTTTTATTATACTAATGATTTATTTGTATTTTGTATCTAAAATTTAAATGTTTACAAAAGTGGAATAAATGGCAGGCTTTTTTTTTTATTATGGTAGAACAAATTACATTATTCCATAATCTATAATTTAAATTATTTATTTAGTAAATTTTTTTATTATTTAATAGTGATATTTAATATATTTTTAAAAAAATTATATTTATAAAATGCTTTTATTGCATCTTTTTTAAAATAAAAAAAAATAAATTTTTTTTTAATACCATATTACAAATAATTTTTTTTTTCATTATACATATAGTATGTAATTATAATAATAATGTGTTAAAACAAGATAAATATGATTTTAATTTTTGTAATTTTTATAATTATTAATATAAAATCTATTTTTTCATTTTTTACTGTCATCAAAATAATGAGATAGAATTTTAAGTCACTATATTTCTTATTATATATAACATAAATATTTAATATAAATGTCTATCTATATCCAACATTATCCCTCAATGTTAACAGATATATCCTTTCTTTCATATTTGTCAACAAAGTTCTTGAGAATTTTAATGTATATCAAATTACACACACACACACACACACACGCGCGCGCGCGCGCGCGCACTTATATATACCTATAAACAAGAAAATGTCCTAATCATTTTCTGATTTTCTACGTTTTTTAGAACGCGGACTATCTGTATCATGTGGACTTGGAGTGATGTGACTTCGTTTTCTTTTTATGCTACTTTCATTAGCTTCATTACTACTACTTGCTGCAGTTCTTGTTTCTCTTCTGAGTGTTCCTTCTCCTGTAACTTGCACCAATATCTACACAGAATTAAATGATGCATAAGATTTCTTAAAAATGATAATTGTATTACATTTATATTTTTACCTGCATATGCTGTAGACATTCTTCCTGCATTGAAACTGCCATTTTATAAATAAATGTATCATGTTTATTATACATAATGGCATTTTGAAACATCAACATAACATCACGTTGAAAATGCATTGTAGATCTAATTGTGCCATTGTCTATATTTTTTTTAATAGTAGATAAATCCATAGGTCTAAAAATAACTGAATGGTATCCTGGTGCTTGATCTTCTGTAATAGGTCTCAAAAAAACAGATGCATATTTATGGGTAGCAAGTCGATTATAAACCAACATGACTGCTTTTTTCCATGCTCTATAATCTGCACCTTCTCCAGTACCTTCAATTTCAGGTTCACTATCAATAGAAGCATTTTGTTTTTTTGAATATGTTTTCATAGCACGACCTCCACTTAACTTGCTTAATGATGATTCCTCTTCATCTAACTCAACAGTATCTTCTCCAGCACTTATTATAGATTCTGATTCTTTTTTTACATTTTGCTCAATATCCATATTTTTTTTCTCTTCCTTCTCTTCTTTTATTTGAACTTCTTTTTTCACTTCTAATATTAATGAATTTTCTAATTGAATTTTTGTTTCTTCTTCCATTCTTGAATCTTCATATGTATTTTCTTCTTTTTTAACAATAGAAGTATCAGTATTAATAGAATCTACAGATTCTATTTTTAAACTTATATCTTCAGGAGACACCAACTGAGTAGAATCTTCTACAATTGCTGTTTCCTCTATTTCTTCTTCTTTTATTTCTATATCTTGTAAAATAGAACTTGTTGTATCTTCTGAAGAATCTTTTGTATCTTCTTTTTTAAATTCATCTGTATAAATTTCTAAAGCTTCTTCTGTCTGTTCTTGAGATTTTTCTGGTGATTCTTCACTTACTTCTATAATAGTTTTTTCTTTTATTACAATTATAGGTTCTTCTTTGAATGATTCAATAGATTCTGTACTTTCAATTGTATTTTCTATAATCTGTTCTTCTGTTATTTTCTTTTTATCATCTGAACTACTTTCATCATCTTCTAAAATTAAACTAATATCTTGTGATTTTTCTGTATCCTCTGTACTAGGAAGATCATTTGTTATTTCAGATGAAACACTAACAACTTCTGCTGATGGAACATCTTGCTGTTCACCAGTAATTTTAGCAAGATGCATTTCTAATTGATCCAATTCCATATTATCTTTATTTTCTAATTCATTAGAGGATATTCTTTGTAATTTATTAGTAGAACATTCTTTATTAATTTCTGGTACAGCTACTTCAGTTTCTTCTTCTTCTTCAACTTCATCTTCTACTATTTCATCTATTAGCTCTTTTGCAACTATTTTTGAGTCATTTTCTTCAGTTTCTATATTTGAAGTAGAATCCATAGTATCAAATTCATCAACTATTTGTTTTTCTTCTAATGGAGTATCTTTACTGTTTTCACTATCTTGAGTATTTAATTCAGGAACAAGTTCTTCTTTTAATGCCATTCTTTCAAAACATGTACTTTCTTCAGATTTTATTTCTTCTGATGTATTTGTTATAGTTTCAGATATGTTAGCCACAATAACTTTGGGTTCTTGTGGTTCTATAGCAACTGTTCCTATAATTTCTGCAATATTTGATGTGCTAGAATCAATTTCTTCAATAGCCATTTCACTTTCTGGTGAATTAGAAAGTGATACAGTTTCATCTACATCTCTAGGTTCTGGACGTTCTGTTACTACTGATTCTTGAATTTGAGGTACAGTAAGAGTATTAATAGTTGATGTAGCTGTATCTAAAGCTTGTGGACTACCAGTAATTTCTTCTTTTATTAATTCTTCTATATCTCCAATAATTTCATTAATTTCATCTTTGTCTATTACATCTGCCATTATATCTTTACGTATTACATCATCTATATGATCTATAATCTGTACCATACTTTCTGTAGATGTAATATTTGGAGTTGTTATTAAAGACTGAGGTACAGATGTTTCATTTTGTACTGTTACTTGATGTACAGATTGAGATTGACAATTATGAATTTCAGTCACATTTTGTTGAGATACAATAGTTGGTGTTGACTGTAAATTAGGTAAAGGACCTCTTTGTGTATTAGCTGGCATTTCTAATAACATAGATAAAGTTGGTGCACCAACTGATGGTCTTTCTGATGGTACATTTGAAATCGTAGATGTAACTAATTGATGCAATTGGGGAGATACATTTTGTGTTAATTGAGAACTTGGTACTTTAGGGCTAGAACCAAGTAAACTTGTAATTGTAGGAGAATTTATTTGTCCTGTAGTAGTTGATGTTTGAATTTGTGTTGTTGGACTTGGTGATTTTAATAGACTTGTTAACAATGGTGATCTTCCTCCTCTAGCTTTCTTTTCATCTTCCTCTATATTTTCTATTGTTTCTTGAATTTCTACTGTATTTTCACTAGATTTACGTTGACTTATATTAGATACTGGTGAATTTAATTCTTGTTTTTGTTGACGTTTTGCTAACCATGCAGAATGTGCTCTTGCTTTTTGTTCTTGTTCTCGTTCTTCTTGTTCAATTGCAAGCCACATCTTATTTAATTTATCATCTGTTATTGACCCAGATCTTAACATATTTATTTCAGTTTTAAGTTGTTGATATTCTTCTCTTTGAAAAGTTAACATTTGTCCTAATTCAGTTATCCTTTCTTGTGTTAATCTTCTTACTATTGATTCACCTGTTGTTTCTCCACTTTCTCTTTTTTTTCTTTTAGGTGTATCTGCATTTTCTAATAAATATGCATATTGAATCGCACAAGATTTTTGAGAAAACCAATCAGATGGTCTTGATGTTTCTTTTTCAACAACTGCTTTTAATGATCTTGATACACTCATCCAGTTTTGATCTCCTGATTTCAATACGCTTGAAGCCAAATATAACTGTTCACGTGTAGTCCAATTATCATATGATCTTTTTAATTTCAATCCTGCAAATAAATATTATAATGTATAATAAATATAAATTACACTGAATTTTATATAATTTTATTAATTTTTATAATTTATAATTTTTATTACTTTTATATAATTAATTAATATTATATCTTTTAATACTATGCTAAGATAAATATTTATAATATTAATATTTTGAAGTATTAATATATTGTTTATATTATATATTGTATATGTCAAAAATAAGATTTATTTTCTATATAAATATATAACAATAAATAACAAAATGTTACAAAACTTAACATTATAATGAAATTTTATATTTAATTTAATATATTATTAATATGCTATTATTTAAATTATTTAATTTAAGTTATATGTTAATATTTAATAATTCTATTAACCTGAAAATCATGAATTGTAATAAATAAATAATAAACTTACTGTCTTGTACTGATGTCATTGTTTCAAATAAAAATTATATCTTTTCTTTTAATATAAACACATATAAGTATTAAAAATTTAAAACAAATCAAGCGCTAATAATTACTTCGTTTAGAATTTTCTATTTGGTTTATACACACATGTATTCCGTTTATTTCGTTGAAACGTGGAATGGACAGCTGATTTTAAACTTGAATTCGAGGAATATGAGAAACAGAGGTGTAATGGCGGATGCAAAGTAAGCTGTCAAAGTATGGTGCATTATATTTTTGCTTTGATTCATGAACGATCAAATATATTTCACCGATTAAAGAAAGAAATAGTAAATATGCGTTGAATATATGGAATTATGAAATAATTAATCAATTTGTATATATAATTAAAAGTACGAATATCTTGTATATACTAATTAATATTTCTTAAAACTGTTTTTACTTTATAATGATGAATAATCGGAGACGAACGAATAATTTCACTTATGTTAGTTCTTGTGTGAAATATATGATATTTATGCTCAATTTTGTTTTTTGGGTGAGTATATTATTACTATTTCATATTATGAATTATTATTTTTATTATTATAATTAATAAATGCTATTATACTATTGTCATTAATGTTATTAGCATTACTATTTATAAATAAAGAAAATAAAATTTTGAATATTTTATTTAAATTAAAATATAATATTTATTTTATTATGCAGTTATTTGGAGGACTTCTAATTGGAGTAGGTTTATATGCATTTGTGGATAAATGGCAAGCAACTGGTTCTGTTAGAGTGGAAAATGTATATGATGTAATTCTCAATATTTCACTTGTAATGGTTATTGCAGGAGCAGTAGTCTTTGTTGTTAGTTTTGCAGGATGTGTAGGAGCATTACGTGAAAATACTTGTCTTCTTAAATTTGTTAGTATTAATAAATGTATTATATTTGAAAGTTTATTAATAACTAATGTAATATCTAATTATCTATTTACTGTAGTATTCATTGTGTCTATTGGTATTCTTTCTGCTTGAAATGGGTATAGCAATTGTTGGTTTTATATTTCCACATACATTACAATCATTATTGGAAGAATCATTCACAGATAAAATCATACAAACATATAGAGAAGATCCTGATTTACAAAATTTTATTGATTTTGGTCAGCAAAAAGTAAGAAATATTATAATAGGATATTTAATAATATATACATATACATATATATATATATATATATATATATATATATATATTATAATTAGTATTATTTTAAAAAATTTGTTTTTTTTAACAGTTCAGATGCTGTGGTTTAAGTCAAGAAGGATATTTGGATTGGGGAAAGAATGAATATTTCAATTGTTCCAGTCCTAGTGTAGAACGTTGTGGTGCACCATTTTCATGTTGCATTAATGCTACAGATATATCAGTAAGTATCTTTAATACTTTCTTAATAATATATTTAAAATATTTTTCAAATTTCTAGAGTGGACTTGTGAATATAATGTGTGGCTATAAAGTACAAATGCTACCAGTTTCTGAAGCAGGTAAAAAAGTATGGACTAGTGGGTGCATTGAAATTGTGAGAAGTTGGGCAGAACGCAATTTGTACACAATAGCTGGTATTGCTTTAGGTATAGCTCTTAGTCAATTATTTGTCATTTATCTTGCTAAAACATTAGAAGGCCAAATTGAATTGCAAAAGTCTCGTTGGCATTCCTGAGCTTGACTTCAGGCCACCTACCGCTATCAAATTCCTCCCAATAGGCAGGTGGCCAATATTCGATCAAGAAGTCATGATACTAAAAAATGTGGAAAAATTCGGATGGCTTTACTTATTAGTATTGCAGTTCTTGTATACATAATTTCTATTTTTGTTTTCATCAAACTTTTTTTTTATTTCAAAAACAATTTTCATTTATATTTTAACAATGATTTTTTATTTTTTACATAATGCTCTATTTTTATAATTTTATTTTCTTCATTACCAATTTATGTTATATGTTGTCAACAAATTATATTAAGTGATGTAGCCATATATTTTTTCTTGAAATTTTCTCAAACTTGAACAATCACAGGCTGGTTGCTTTTAAACTATATAAATTCAATCTAAAACGAAATATTTAAATAACGATATTATTCAATATATATATTTAGTTACATATCAAATTTGTTGCAAAAATTACACATATGAGAAAAAATATTTTTTTATTCGCTATAAAAAATTAATTAAATTAATGTAATTAATTATATATTAAAATAACCACAATTAATTTTGTAATAAATATTAATTTTTTTATTATGTATATAATTTATAAAAAATAAATAACAATAGTAAATTTCATATGTTGGTAATTTTTGCACTAAAATTAATATATTATTCGCACATTATAAGTAATAGTAGTATTGTAAGTATTAAAAGCATCAAGCCTTTAAATATACAAAAGACTTACATTTTATAGTTTAAGAAATAGAAACAATTCTAAGAGATTCAAGATTTTTTATATATTTACATAGTTATTTCCGAAAATATTTTACCGTGTGCGTATTTAAGACTCTGTCTCATAATAAATAATTTTATTGATTAATTCAACAAAATGGAATAAAATAACGAATATAATTAAAACACGCACATGGTTAAAAACATATCTTTTTTATTATATAATTTTATTATTATTTATATTAAATACAATATAAAACTAATTAATTAGTATTATTTATATAATATTAATTAATTATTTTTTAATTAATATTATTATTTTTTTATTACATTAGTGTAATTTAAATAAGACAAAAAAATACGTCCAGTGCCAAAGTCAAAGTATCATCATCATTTTATTTGAAAAAAACTTGACAATAATCTGGTGTAAATGATTTGTTTATTAAGTATATATATAATTCATCTGCGTGTCTTTTTATCAAAAATAAATGTAAAACTGATATATAAAACTATCTAATTTGTAATAAACAAAATATTATTCTAAAACTGTTTTTTTATCTTTACCAATAAATTATTATTATTGTATTAATAAAATATATTTTAAGGATGAATAAATTAAAAAATAAATGATTATTATTTTTTGTAAATATTTATTTATATAAAGTATAATCTACAAAAGTACTATTTGAATATTCTAAAATTATACTTTGTCCATCAACAAGTTCAGAATTTTCAAACAATTTCGTTAATAGCATATTCATTTCATTACATATTAATGCACCAGTTGTATAATGAAATAATTGTAGTTTACATGTTTTTGCTAAATTATTATTATTAGATATTTTTAATATATCAGCTATTGAATCTATTGCCTTCCCAATTGTCCAATTTGTATTCACATAAATACTTTTTGATGGTCCTATATGTTTATTAGATATTGTAGTTGGGAGATATACAAGAAAATAACATCTTTCATTCATTGGTATATTTTTCACACCAACAGCAGAACCCTTTAAACGCATAAGCCTTACCTAATTAAATAATATCATAAATAATAATTATATATTAATAAGTAATTAATATTAATAACATCTTTTTTTAATTATTATATTTAAATATTTAAATATTATACTTTATTAGCCATTGCAGTATTTTTAGATTTCTTCAAAGTATTTGAAATTTCTTCATCCACTATAGCTTTTGCTTCTGCAAATTGTTTTTTTGGTATTTGCCACTTTTTTAACTTTGTTGTTTTTTCTTCATTTGTATATTCTAAACAACCATGATATCTGTGTTGTAGACAGAAATGTTTTTTACATTTAATACATTGCATTTCGATAGGTGACATTTCTTTGCAAAATTCTTCTGAACATGTATAATTTGATGCCTTTATTTTAGTATATGTTATCTTATCTTTAAAACTTAAACATTTATGAGAAGATATATGAAAATGTTCTTTGCAAAATAAATCATGACAATGATTGCATTCAAATGGTAAAAAATTTAATTGTTTGCAATCTTTGATTGAACATCTTGCTCCAATATTTGGAAATTCCATTTTTAAATCTATAATAGAATAAATATATATATATATATATTATGAACAAAAATATAATTTGTTTAATTAAAATATATAATAAATTATTAATATATTAGTTATGTTCAATTATTATATATCACAAACCATTACTTATTTAACTATGAGAAGGTGTTGGAGAATGTAAATGGTTTTCACTGAGAGTTCCTAAAGCTAGATTATTCCACTTTTGTTCTAATTCTTTCAATGTCATATGAGAATCACCATTATCACTTTCAGGATCAGGTAATTCTGCTATTGGTACTGAAATATCATCTATAGGCAAACGTTCTTTATGCCAAATCTCATCAATTAAATCTAATAATCTACCGTCTCCACATACTTGACTGTCCATATCGTAAAATACACAATTTTTTAAATATTTTCTTTTATCTGCATTGGCAAATAAAATATCAAAATTTCTATTCGGTTACGATTACCTATTTTAATTGAAAAATTATAGTCACTGACATAATGAAACAAAGATGTTCGACTCTATAAATAAGATCGTATCAAATTAAATTACTATTATCGATTAAAAATATTTCAAGGACAACAAAAATAAATTATCGTTCAAATAATATATAAAATTAAATAAAATAATATTTTTTATTATTTTTATTTTAGCATTATTTAAATTTTATTTAACATTAAAAATATTTAAAATAATTTGAATTGTTAATTATGATTAAACAAGATTACACATTTAATAATCATAATATCATTATATAATTATATTTTTTTATTCTAATTTAAATTTTTTGAAATTGATTTTTTTTTAATTCTCATAAGAAAATTGTTAATATTATTTTATTACGTTTTAGAAAAAATAGAAATAATAAAATTAGAAATAATTTAGTCATTTGGTACAATTTAATTATTAAATTTGTTTTAATTTATATATCGAGTTTTACTAATTATTTTTATTAGTTAATTGTTTTTTTTATTCATTGTATCAAATATATTTATTGTTATCAATTTTATTTATATATTTTTTATAATAGAAAATTTTTTTTTCTTTGTTTTGCATTAATTGTTTTGTTGTCTAATCTTTATTATTGATTAATTGAATTGTATCATATTTTTTAATTTTTTTCTTTACAAATGCCTTTTTCGCATGAAAGTCCATTAGTGCAAGGACAAAAAATGAAATGTACATCTTCAATTTTCAATAAACTACCATCCGGATAACCAAGGGTAACATTAAAAGGCTCATTAGTTGGTCTACAAACTTCTCCTTTTCCTTGCATAGGCTTACATTGTGGTATACTATATCTTGCTGATCCTAAAATTATATAAATAAATTATAAAAATTATTAGTTTTAAAAAATAAATTAATCATTTTTTATGTAAAATGAATTTATTTTTTTTATTAAGTGAAATACCTAAGGTACAACAATGATTTGGTTGACATTCTGAACTAGTCTGACATTTAATATAATCATTTTGTGCGTGGCAAGGATATTCCAGTACAAATAGAAGAAAAGAAATCACAAAAATCGATGTCATCATTGTTATTTTTGTTTGCTGACTCCTGCAATGAAAATATATCTGTTTTTCTTTTTAGTTCTCATGATTTTAAAGTTATAAGATTTAATAAAAATTTATTATTTAAAGAAATAATTATTCTGGTCTTTTTTCTAATTTTTAAAAATTTTTTTAATTAATTCAATTTAATGTTTTTTTTTTTGTTTTTTTGTTAATTCAATTATTTAATTCAAAACTACAACAGAACAGTTTTAAGTTAATAACTATTTTTAACTGTTAATATATAAATAATGTTAGATAAAATTAATTTTAGATGATTTTTTATGAAGTTGGTAATTAGTCACACATGATTGTATATTTAAAATATTACACTATTTAATGTTTATTATAATTTCATTATTCCGGATATATCATATTATATCATATTTAATTATTACGACTTTCAATTTTCTTCAATTAATATAACAATAATACAAATTTTTTTGAAAGAATAGTAATATATTTAATATAATTGTTTAATAGTTTAATTTCAAATGTCATTGAAAACAATGATAATGAAATAATTTTTAAACTGAATTCAAGATAATTAAAAATTAATTTTATAATTTGATAAACTTTATTATATTAGAGAAATTAACTATTTATTACAAATATTATTTATAATATTAATAATAATAATTATTAAAAAAAATTTTAATTATTTAACAAAAAATTAAAAATTTCTAAACTCTATAATAATTTAATATTTAATACTCTAATATTTGTTAATTTATGATATGAATTTCATTCATGATGATATGATAAGAATTATCATATGATATTATGATAAGAATTTCATTCACAATAAATACATACATACATACATATAATATATATATATATATATATATATATATATATATACACACACATAAATACGTATATAAATAATTACAAATTTAGCATTATAAATAATTGTAATAGCATAATTTTTTTTCTACAAATTTTCTTTTTTTTTTAAATATTAGAAATATCTAAAAATATGATTTTAACAACATTTTTAATTTTGAACATTATATTGATCACGCATTACTTATTTTTGTTTTCATTTTCTGTTTTTATTTAGTAAGAGACTATAAAAATTATAAAAATATACGTGAGCACTTACAATCCTTTTACACTGTCTACACTCGGTAAACACTTATTCACATTTGATCATGCAAACTGATGTCTGTTGTTTTTATATCAGTTTCCTCTGTTCGTTCCTCTAAATAAGCGATTGAAATAGAAAGATTTATTTTCGTATTTACTGAATATGTTAAATTTATATTAATTGATTTAAAGTCAGTATTTATATAGTATACTATATATGATATCAAAATATTTTTTTATAAGTGAAAAAAAAATATTTTTCGATCAATACTCAATCAATAATTAAAAGATCATATAAATTTATAGTATAAATTCATTATATATTTTACAATGATTTTCATTATGTCTTTGATAAAATTTTTAATAGCAAAGGAATTATATAATTGATTGATTAATGATCGATTTTATAAGTATGTAAATGATAAATTCAAGGAAAAATTGTTCGTTTATAATTACAGTATTATGTAATTAGTTAAATAGAAATCCTTCAAAGAAAGATTTCTATCAGATCTTGGAAATATATACGTATGTAGGATTGATAATTAATTTGATGTTAGTTATTTCATATTTATATAATGATATCAAGCAATTTAAGTGTATTTAAATAAATTTACTATAGATTCATTTTCATTTGAAAAAATTGAAATTTATAAACAGATATATGAACTTGTTTGTTTAATTAATTATCTAATTTTTTTCAATTAAATAAAATCACGCGCCAAAAGCAAATATAGAAAGAGAAAGCAAATAATACGAGAAGAAAAAAAAATAGTGAATATAATAGAAATAAAATAAGAATTGATTATCAATATTTCTTGTCAAAGAAATTTCTTTCAAGAAGTATCTTTTTAAATGTATTTAAGAGATGGCGTTAATCTTCAGTTCTTATTCTATTTTATTTTTTAAAAAGATGTGATACTCTGATACTCAAGAGATTAATTTTTATTCTATTTTTTATTTTTTTTTTTTACTATTTTCTATTTTTTTTCATGAGTTTTATTTACAATATTTTAAAAATTGCAATATTGATTTCAATATTTTATTTCTATATTTCTTTTATTATTTATTCTTTTAGATTATATTTGCTCTGCAAAATTTTGTACGAATAAAAAATAGTTTCGATATCTGATTAACTTTATTGTTTTATTGTTTAATTTATTAATTAAAAATTTTAAAAATCGTCGATGTTTTCGTTCATATTGCATAAATATTTACAATTGTATATAAAAAACACTACATATAAAAAATTGATTTATAACATTTATTAAAATTTATTTAAAAAATTATTAATATTAAATATTAAATATAATATAAAATTAATAACATTATATTTAACTCTATTTTTATAATGTTAAAAATCTTCAAAATTATTATTAAATATATATTTTCATAAAATATAAGCATGATATTTTAATTTAGCTCAAATAAATTTGTTTACTATTTATAGCAGAGTATATTAAACATTTTAATTTTTTTGTGTGATCCATATTTTAGACATAAAATTAAATATTAGACATAATATTAAATATTACTTTTCTGTATCTTTAATTTGTGGTGAAATAAATATTTTTTTTGTAATTAATATGTTTAATTATAGTAATTGTAATAATGTAATAATTGAACAAATTTAACTTTATGTTGAACAAATTTGATAATATCTATTTCGAAATTTGTCCGCTAGATGTTTTTACAATTGTCGAACTTTCCTTTCTATAGATAAAACTGGAAATAATCTTATATCTCATACGAAAGATTACAATGTTTTTAGTTTTGTGAGGTTACAACTATTTATAAAATGAGCTATTTCGTTATTTATATCTTATATATATGTTATTTAAAATGGTGAAATTCATTTTAATGTTGTTAAACATAAGATAATTCATTATTTTAATATATTTCAATGTTAATTAACAATTTCCCAAGAAATTTCTATTTTACAATGGAACAAATATTTATGTGAAATAAATAACCTCTAGCTTAATTTTAATTTACTCATTTTCAACTATGGTAATTTATATATAACTATATGTGATATTTACGTAAAGATTTAATAATATTAACTTAATAATAAACTTAAATAATATTTAAACTTAAATATTTTAGGCTCTCTTAGGAGCTCAGTTAGTTATCACACTTATTATGGTCAGTGTCATTCAAAAATTAACTCCACATTTTTCTTTAGCAAGATGGATTTTATGTTCTACTGGGTATCTTTTTAATTGAATATAAATATAATGCACATGAAATTCATAATTAATAAAAAATATTACAATAATTTAATAGATTGACACGTTATTTATATCCAACTGATCAGCAACTTAGAATCCTTGCTGGTGTACCAAAAGAAAAATCTAAGAAAGGCAAATATACAGAAAATGGAAAAGTTAAAGAAGTTTTTCATGTTCCTAGAAATTTAGATATTACGCTTGAGAATACTAAAATAACTATATTAGATGTAGTGCATTTAAAATATTATACAGAATATCAGTGGTTATTGGATTTTTCTATTTATGCTATTGCAGTTTATGTTATAACAGAGGTAAATTAAAGTTCCTTTTTTTTTATTTGTATTTATATTTCTCTAATACTTTATAATTATTATTATATTACTATATAATTATAAATATATTTTAAATATTATTTAACAGATATATAATTACTTATATCCAATCAAAGATGAAATTAATTTAAGTATGCTTTGGTGCTTATTAGTTTTGGGTTTTGCATTGTATCCTTTTTATTGACTTGTATTATTACAAATATTATTCTTTTCAAAATTTATTTTCTTTAATTAATATTTAGCAAAGTATTACTTTCCTTGTGGATACAATATTTTAAAGGAGAAGAAAGCATAGGTGAAAGATCTACATGTATTGTAACTGGATTTGCTTATCTTCTTATAGCTATGACAATTTTTATTGTTGATGAAAATAATCTTGAAATTGGATTAGATAAAGCTTATGCAAGTTTCAATCATAGTGCATCTCTTTTTCTAAATAATCAAGGTCTTTCTTCTACGTAAGTTTTATTCATAAGCTTTTTTATTTATAAACATTTTTCTTTTATAAATAATAATTCTTAATCATTATTCTTTTATAAACTTGTACAAAGATTTATAATATTTTTTTTTATATAATTTTTTTCTCATTATATTTTCATTTTACTCTTAAATAATATTTCTTTTATAGAGGACCTGCATCAAAAATTATAGTAAAATTCTTCCTTGCTTTGTGCTGTGGTTTACTTGGTTCCTTATTTACTTTCCCAGGTTTAAGAATGTCAAAAATGCATTGGGATATATTAAGGTAAATTTAAATAAATCTTTGATTTATTAATGCATTTTAATAAAAAATTATGTTTTTCAGATATTATAAAGATCAAAAATTATTATTATTAATAGCAAACATCAGTTATGCTTCTCCACTTTTATTAATAAGCTTATGGATTAAACCTATAAGCAGAGATTATCTCACTATTCGAATATTTAGTGGTATGAGTGGACCATTGTAAGTTAAGAAATAATAATTATCATAATAGATTTATCTATCCAATTTTTTTTATAGATGAATTCTTATAGGATGACAACTTCAACTTTTGAGAGTATGAGATTAATTGCAATTATTGTTGCAGTTTTATTAAAATTTTTATTAATGCCAATTTATTTACAATCATATCTCAATTTAGCTATGCAAAAATTAGAAAATCAAAAAAAAGAAGCTGGTAGAATTACAAATATAGATTTACAGAAAAAGGTATCAAAAAATAAAAATATATATAATAAAAAAAATTAATTAAAAATTATTTAATATAAGAATTAATTAAATCTTTTCTATAATTTATTTCAGATTGCTGCAGTATTTTATTATTTATGCGTTGTAGCTTTACAATTTATCGTTCCGATAATTATATGTTTATTTTTTACATTCATGTATAAAACTCTAGGTAATATCAATTTTAATAGAATATTTTAATAATTATACATATAATTTTGTAATGATATTCATACATTAGGTGGTTATACATGGGAAGGACTTTTAAAAGCACCATCACTTGAAGAATGCCCAGCTGATGAACTATCAAAATTTATATCAGATGTAATAAGTGATTATGATAACGAAAAAATTGTTGTGCAAGCAACACAAGATTTTCAACTTACTCTAAGTTCCTTAAAACAGGTAAAAATTATAATATAATCATTGCATTTCAATGTATCAAGAGAAATAATTTAAAAAGACTTCTAATATATTTTTATACAGATATTTACTGTGGATGTCTATAGAGGATTATTAGGTTTAGCAACATGGTGGAGTTGTTTTTCATTATTTGCAACTACCGCTATGGGTATGTTTTATCAATCATATTTCTCTAACATGTAAAACAATATATTATAAAAGAGAATGACTTCGCACAAATTTATGTCATGATTAATTTATCAATACTAAAATCATTGAAATATTTATAAATATAATGATGTATTTTGAAAAATATACCTATTTAAGGTATGTACAATATTGGTTGTTTAATGGAAAGGAATTAATACCATTATCAAAAATTTTATAATATGCATAGCAATAAAAATGTTATTATTATAACATGTATAAATATTATATCAAAATTAAAATTACAAATAGATCTCATTGTATCTTTATATTCCAAATTTTTTATTGGATATTATATTATATAACATATAATGTTTATATAAAAATTTAGAAAAACATTTTGTAATATAAAATATTGCAAATTATTGAATACAAAAGAGTATAAAATATTTTCAAAACAAATTTAAAAATGTTTTACAATAAAAAATAAATAGACTTCCAAATGTGTGCAAAATATGAATAAATCAAAGCACTGCCTGTAAAATAATTTATTTAATATTCCATACACGATTAACTGATTACAATTAATAACTCGTGCGTGTATCAGTTCTATGTCAAATGAAAGCAACTTTCATCGATGTTACAATCATAAATGAATTAAACAAAAATGTTTCACTGTCTTATGCCTATTCGTTTTAATATTATTTAACTAAAATCTTGTATATATTTTAAAATGTACAAAATATTTATTAAAATTTTATGTACAACAATTAATAATTTTATTAATGATATGAAATTATAAATTTTTTTTTTTATTTTATTTATTTTTATTTTATTTATTTTTTTTATTTTATTTATTTTTTTTAAATCTAATTATTGTATGATATTTTAATGATTTGAATTAATCATAAAAAGAAAAACTATATTGAATGATTATTATTCATGAATTGTTATCTTGGTATCTTGGAGAAAGTGTAATTGTATGTAGCGAAAATATATCGATGCGATGCTACTCACGTATCAACTTAGCTGCTTCCGTGATATATAACTCTCCACAGAGTACTTTAACGTCAGAATGTGATATTCATCAGTGATAATAGTGTCATTTATTTAGCAAAAAACTTTCAAACTTTTTATAAGTTATAAAATGTTGGTAAGTATTTTTAATTGTAATCTATTTTAATTGCATATTTTATAGAAGTTATTATTTTCAGAAATATATTATATTTTTTTATATTATGCTTTTTTCGGTATATGCCGAATCATCCATTCAAAATGTAAAACCAACAAATGTTCTTGGCACTTCTGATCAGCATGCGTCTTTCAGTTTTATTAGACCAGGTTTAATACAAACAGCTTTTGCTTTTAATGGTCCTAATTCACACCAATCATTTAGTTCCAATATTGGAAATCTTCAATTAGCGCAAAGAGTTTTACCAAATATTGCTAACGCTCTTGCTTATAAAAACCCTAGTTTAGGTTTGTACTATATACAAAATATTACATATCTTTACAAAATGTAATTGATTCTTATATTTATTATACAGGTGTATTTCCTATTGCACATGGCTATGCAACTGCACCTACTTTTGTTTCTTCTGCACCTACATCGTTACCATATCAAGCTTCTATTGATCCATTTAATGCTCTAGCATATTATCAACAGTTACAACAATTTCAACAACCCCATATACATGGCTATTCACCAGCTAACGCATATCAAACACAATTAGCACAATTATTTGCATTACAGCAAGCTCAAGCTCAAACTCAATCTCAAGAAAATGTGCAAGCTACACAGTCTCATACACAAGTAAAAACAGCATGCAAAAGCTATTTAAAATTGCATGTTATAGAATTTATTTGATTTTTGTTTAATTTAAATTTATATAATTTTTATTTAATATTAATTATTCATAGGTTCATCCTGAACAAATTCAGTTACAACAAGAGCAACAACAACAATCTCAAAATTTATTAGGTGTTGCTTATTCATCAGCACCATCAGTAGCACGAGTGAAAGTTTCCGGAAATGGCTATAAATTTGATTTCTAAGATATATAAGTATATTATAAAATGCTAAATTTTGTATTTTTTGTTATATTTCATATTTTATTTATTTATTTATATAAATATAATGAAAAAATGAATAGTTTTAAATATTACTTAAATAAAAAGTTACTTATTAAATTTTCTAATTGTACTTCTAACTCTGTTATTTATTTTTCATATCTTACAATATATTTATTTTAAAGTTATATTTCGCAATTATGCAATATTATATTATTGTTATTAAGATTTAAAAGAAAAATTTAACATTTGGAAAGGCCCCGGGGGGATTCGAACCCCCGATCTCCTGTTTACTAGACAGGCGCTTTAACCAGCTAAGCCACGGCGCCGTTATATATTAAATTATTATTAAATATAATAATAGTAAGAATATTATATACTTATTATAATTAAATATTTTTCCTATAATTTTTTAATTACTCTTTGATAATTTTTTAGATATAAATATATAATAAATGAATAAAAATATAATGAAATAATGTTAAGATTCTAATTCTAATTAAAAATAAAATTCATAAAGAGTATATTTTAATTATTTATTGTTATATTTCATTTTCAAAAATATAAAAAAATATATTAAACATCGCAGTCGGTAGGACTCGAACCTACGCTCCCAGAGGGAATCTGATTTCTAGTCAGACGCCTTAACCACTCGGCCACGACTGCTTCAATTCTTACTTGATATAAATAATAGAAATTTACTTTTCAAATATGATATATAAAAATTATAATTAAAAATTAATTTATAAAATATTACAATTATATTATATTATATTATATTATTATATACTTATTACATTTAAACATTTTTTGTATTTTGATATTTTCCATATGGATAAAAATTTCATTCTTATTTTAGATCTCTCTGAAAATATATTATTTGAGTTATTTGGTAGTCATATAAACATGTTAAAATTACATAGAAATTAAACTATTTTAAACTCATTAACTATTAACATAAAATTTTATATCTGTTTATTTACTTAATGTTATATACAAATTAAAAATATTTTTAATATATATATATATATATATACATATAAAAGTAGTATTAACTTTAAAAATATATAATTTTGATATAAGAAAATTCATTTCATATTTAATTTATTTTATGAATAAATTATTAATTTAATAATTTATTAACAGAAATAAAAAATGTACTTGACCCCGACGTGATTTGAACACGCAACCTTCTGATCTGGAGTCAGACGCGCTACCGTTGCGCCACGGAGTCTTTGAAACATCGGTTTATTTATCCTCTATTAAAAGTAAATTATTAAAAATATATTATTTAAACAATAATATTATGAATCAATAAAGTATTGGTAATATACAAGATGAAAAATATTATAACATTTCTTTTTTCTTCATATCTTTTTTTTAAAATAATTTTATCATTTTAAATGTAATAAAAATATAATTTTTAAATTTTCTTTTTCATCATATTAAATAATAATATGTGACACATATTCGATAATTTGATAATGAACATAAAACATTTGTTAATGTATTATATAATTTTAGTATATAAATACAATAATCATACAAAAAAAATTTTAAGATATTACGTTTTTGTATATATATGTGTATTATATATAAACACAACATATACACATATGTATACAAATATATGTATGTATATATTATATATATATATATATATACATATATACATAATATATATCTATTTTTTTGATAATTCAACTTATATTTAAGAATCATCCAATATAATAATAAATAGCGTATAAAATAAATAAAATTTATTTTATTTTCTATATTAAATCATATATTAATATAAAATTAATGTAATTAATTATATAATATATAATTACATGAATGAAATATATAATACTAAAATGTATTATTTTTTCTGTTTTATATATATGTAGATTTAAAGATTATTAGTAATTATACCATGAATTTAAAGAATTACATTTTTTCTTTTCACAATATTTTTTTTATGAAAATGTTTAGAAAAAGAGGAATTATTTTTATAGTTCCGATGTGTTCAGTAAAATTCACGTAATGCATGCTCACATCCCGTATGCAAGTTCCGAATTATCCGAAAAACATATTGACTTAGGAAGCTACATTTCTCCCTACGTTGGAAAGAGTTTCGCGCGGGTTGTCTCACAAAGCCCCTCCTAGTATCAGGATATCATGTAATCATGGAACATTTCTAACCAATATGCTGTTACAATATTCCATCATACCTTGACTTTCGCCCGTGAGGAATTTTTTCAACAGGGACGCATGCAGCTAACAGTAATTTCATAACTACCGATAGAAGCGTTAGTATAAATGTAGAAATGTATATGTGTATACATATGATTCTATGTCTACTTATTATTGCAAGCTTCAGTTACGTAGAAGACAAATTCTCCCTCATTACTGCGAATCATTTATTTTAGGGGAAAATTTAATAAGATTTGCATTTGTAAGAAGTGTAGAATTATCATTGAATATTATGATGTAAAATATAATGAAGAAATATTATTTTATGAAGAATTTTAATTATATATATATACACACATAAATAAGAAATATTATTATATTATTTCCAATTTTGGGGAAAAACAGTGTCACTATCCCATGATTTTATTATACATTATATAAATAAGATTAGATTGCTAATATTACTATATTGTCAAATAAAATTTTAAAATAGTAATAGTAAATCACCAAAGATATATTGAAACCATTGATCTAATATTTTTATCATATTGGATTAACAAATTAATAAATAATGAAAAAAAATTGTGTGAAGAATTGCTATATTATAAAAATGCTTAAAGCCGATTGCGGCTCTTCCTCAAAATTGTGTCTTTCCAATCAGCGGCTAACATAACAAACGTGGAAGTTTTATCTATCGTTTTAATATCTTATAACAATTCCTGCGTTCCTACTTATAGGTCGGTTAAATTGTTGATTATGTCCATTCTATCTGCTAACTAAAAATTCATTGGAGGATTATAATATATAGATATGTATTTTTATATATAATTACATATATATATATATATATATATATATTTAAATTATTTTTAATATGATACTCAAGTATGAAATTGATTCCCTTTTCTATAATATAATATATCAAATATGATAATAATAATATATAATAATATTATATAATAATGTAAACAATGATCACATTGAAGAATTATGCAGCTATATATTATATTATGTTATTATATTATGTTAAGAAAAGTATTTTTTTTATTATAGTAATCTAATTTATTAATTTTTATATTATTATAAATTTCAATATATGAATGCAATATTATATATATACATACAATATAATAAATTTAATATAATTTCAATATTTATGATGATAATAAATATAATAACACATATTACATTCTTAATACTAGTTAATAATACTTATATACAGTTTTCGATATAGTTTTATATAGGATTAGAAATAAATTAAAAATTAGAAATTAGAAATTAAAAATAAAAGAAAAAGATAAGACTGATATGACGGCCAATATAAGGATTGAAATCAATATACATAGAAATTTTTGTTCCTTATAACAGTATTTGTTATATATATATATATCAATAATAAATATTAAAATAATGAGAATTTTTTTAATTAAAAATAATTATGATATTTAACAATAATTAAAATTAATTATGAACTTATTAATAAATTTAAGAATTAAACTCAATTAAACTTAAGAAGTATTATTGTATCTCATTTTAAATCTTGACAATTTTTATATAAAAATAAAACAGATATATTTACATGTCTATTTTAATCATTTTAATTATTTAAGCTTGAAAAATATTTTGTTTTCATATATATAATTTATAATAAATAATTTTTTTACAAATATTTCATATCAATTATTTATTAAATATTATTATGAAAATAATTGATTTTGAGGAATAATGAAACGCATAAAAAAAGAAGATATATGTAAGTTACACTGATATAGCTTCCTCGACTAACATGTTAACCTAATCTAAGAAGGGGATAAATGAGACAGCCCGCGCGAATGTCGCTCAACTATACGAGAAAGGAGAAAAGTAGTTCATTTATGTTATCCTAATATTTTGTGTCTTGTATGCGGGATGTGAGCACGCATCACATTTGTATTTCTATGATATGTAAGTATATATATTTTTATAATTCTTATAATTTCTAAATAACTTCAAAAAAATATGACTAGATTAATTTCTAGTAAATACTTTATTCTAATTTAAAAATTTAATATTTTTTTTATTATAATTTGTGTAATAAAGATTTTAATGCATATTGAAATCTGCATGATACTATATATTTTCTTAAAATAAGAAAATTAAAGAAAAATAATTTAACAAAATTTAAAATAATTTAACTGAATTTATATTTAATACAAATTGAAAATAAAAAGAAGATGCACAACTGTTACTTGACCCCGACGTGATTTGAACACGCAACCTTCTGATCTGGAGTCAGACGCGCTACCGTTGCGCCACGGAGTCTTTTTTGTTATGTTTATTTAAATATAAATATAAAATAGAAAATATAAATATAAAATATATAAATCAATGATTAATCTTTGCATTATATAGAAATTTATGGCTCTTATGGCTCTATAAATAGTTCTTTCTGTTCAGATAAATAGAAAAATCAGAATTTTTGTTTCATATTCATATTTTTGAAAAATTTAATATGTTCTTTGTGTAATTAGAATCGATAATTATTTTATTAATTTTAATTCACTTTTGATTAATTTTAATTAATTCAATATAAATTAAATTGAAAAGAATTAAATAAATAGGAATTAAATAAATGTTGATTTTTTTGTACATCATAAATACTTTTATATATTTATATATTTTATGAAAAACTTATAACATATATTTTAATAATATAATTTTAATATTTAATAATAATATTTTAAATAATAATTATTTAATAATAACTATTAAGCAATGTATGTAATATATAAATGTGTTAAAATATATTAAGACTATCATTTTCAGAATTTATACAATTTTTAAATTATATTTCCTAAAAAATTACAAGTGATATTGAATAGATTGGATAAATGTGTTAAAATATATAAAGACTATTATTTTCAGAATTTATACAATTTTTAAATTATTTCCTAAAAGATTGCAAGTGATATTGAATAGGAATATCTTGATATCCATAGGGTGTGGCTCGTGGTGGCATCTTCAGAATGAAATATCTATTAGGCTAACATATTATTTAGAAGCATACCATGTCCCAATTGTTGCATCGGTAAAATAGAAAATCATAGAATCGATATAATATACAGTTTTAATCATAAAGAAAATTTTTACTTCTCATTATACTCAATTTATACGTATACTATTTATTTTACCTTTTCTTATATTTTGAATTATTATTCAATAATAGTGAAATAAATGCTTACATGCATTAGAAAATAATTAATTTTCATTTATTTATAATTATATTTGTAAAAATTTAATACGTAAGTACTTAACTATTTTATTTTCGTTTATATATGGACGAAAATTATTAAATTATGAGATAAAAAAATATATTGAATGATAGCTCTATTCTGTAACATAAATATTCGTTAATACATATAAGAAAGTATATATGTAAATTAAATATTTATTTAAACCATATGATATGTATGACAAACATATACAGCCATTTCCTTAACATGTTAGTATATAGTTTATAAAAAAAAGTGTAGGTGTTATTATTCACGGTAAAGAAATAGAAAAGCTCTTTTTATAATTTAGTCTCCTAATAGATATGAATCATGGTGCCGCGTGCCGGCACAACTCATTGAATCTTCAAGAGAGTTCTTTCATCGTCATCTTTCATTAATTGCAAAGATTTGCAAAGATTGGAAAAATGTAATCCATAAATTTAAGAATCCATAATTAAATATATAAAATTATTGGAAAATAAGACAAAAGTAAAATGGCAGCGGTGGGATTCGAACCCACGCCTCCGAAGAGACTGGTGCCTTAAACCAGCGCCTTAGACCGCTCGGCCACGCTACCGTGGTTATATGTGATTTTTATGTAGATATGATATAGAAGTATGACTAATATTTATAAAATAAAATATTTTATATAGAATGTCAAATTATTATTATGTTTCTTATTATTTATTTAATTTTATACATATAGAAATAGAATTGTAAAAAAAAAATTTTCAAAAAGAAATATATAAAAAAATACATTTTAAAAGAAATTATAAAAGTGTGTTAAATTATTTTTAATCAGTGAAAAATAATGTTTACATGATTCTTAAAGCATATTTTCCAAAAAATATATTTAAATATTCGTGTGTGATGAGTACCAAGGTGGGTGGTGAGTAAGTGATCCATATATAGAAGCGTCTCCACATTCACTAACACGAATGCATACCTATCATGCATATATACGCAGCACGGTGGCTGAAGCGTACACTTTTTGAATTTGAGTTGCTTAAGCTCTACCAACGTCTCCAACGTTTTGATATTACAAAAGAGCACTTGCAAACATTCATCATGCCTGGGCGTCCACTTTGGCAGGTAAGTTGTGTGGAAAAGAATTTTATATATAATTTTATATAATAGAATTATTTAATTAAAGCATTTTTATGCAATAAAAATAAAAATAAAGTGAAATTATTTATACTAATTGATATACATAATCTTTAAATTATAAATTACATTCAATTATTGATTCATAATAAATATATAACAAAATATATAATAAATATATAATAATTTTCTATGATAAGTGAAATTATATCACAAATATAAATTAATTATAATTTTAAGTTGAATGGATAAATATGAAAAAATATTTTTTTTTCGCTTTATTTATATATTTATAATTTAAAATATTAATTTATAAAATCACGCATTCTATATATTGTAAATTATTGTATATTATATAGATTCAAAGTATATTATATTTATTGAAATTTTTTGTTGTCTTTTTTTTTAATTTCACATTTTGAAATGATATATGAAAAAATATCTATAATTATTAAAAAATGTTTCATAAAGTATATAATAATGTTAAAAAGTTTTTTAACATTTTTTAATATATTCATTTTTTTTTTCAAACATTTGATTCAATATGCGAATCAAACTATTTTCATCAATGTTTTTAATTCTAGAAAATCTGTAAACTATGAATCATTTGATATATTGATTATTGATATTATATTTGATAAATAATCTTGATTTATATTTATACTTTTAAGCTAATTATAATTATAAAATTCATTCCATTTTTCTATAGTTTTAAAAAATTTTACAATTTTTTAATAATATTATAATATAAAATATAATTACATATTTTGATAAATTATCAAGTATCGTGAAATATAAATATTTGATATGTTAACGATATCATAACGCAAATTCACCATCGAATTCACACGTCGTGTCTGGTATATTACAAGTATCCAAAAATAACTGAAAGGGGTTAAGATATGCCAAACTAAATAAAAGTTTGAATTAAATTCTGTAATATAATAATGTTGAGAAAAGAGAAAAGAGATTAAAAAATTTGTGTCACGATAATGAATGGTGCAATGTATATTTACAAAGTCATAGATATTTTAGAAATTGATGTACTTAAGTTAACTTTTCTATCTATTCTTTAAAAGCACGTTTAAGTCTCTTGAAACTGGAAGAAGAAAGGAAGAGATAAAATACTAAAATGATTTCTTCTGAAATTAAATAATGATTAAAAATTTAGAATAATATATTAATAATAATATATTACTTTTTATAATATATTATAAAATAATATATTATTATAATATAAATGAAATTATAAAAGTTTAAATGTTTAAATGTTTCAGTCATAATTATAATTGTAATGATTATATAGTTATAATTATGATTATGAATGATGTAATAATAATAAAATAGCAGTGTTGCTTTTTTATTTTGTATTAATTGTTATTTACATAGTATTAGCAAATTATGTGAGAATAATAACAATCTTAGAAAAGATATTACACTATTCATTCAGATTGATAAGATAATCTTCAATATAAGAATTTACGTAAAATTTTACATATAAAATAATTGTGAAATTCTATTTATACATAAATTTAAATTATATTACTTCACATGATAATAATAATTTATTTAGAATTTAATAATAATAATAATTTATTTAGAATTTTATCATGTTTCATATTTTTTTCAATAAAGAATTCATGAAAGATAAATTAGTATTCAATATATTGAGTACCTATATCGTGTACATAATATGTATATATTTAATGTATGTATGTTTATAATTTATCTATATATGTAATTACAGTATAACGTGTATTAAATGTCTGCTTTTTTTAATTGTATCAACAACATTTCACATTTATATATATTGAATATATAATAATGAAATTTCATAACATGTAATGTCGGTAACGTATATTGAGATTATAGACTACATTGTTGTAATATCTACAAGATATGTTTTTATAGATATTCGACGAGAAAAAAAATACCGATTTGATTGAATTTTTTTCAGATAAAAAGATCAGCTATAAATTAGTGACTAAATATTTAAAATTGATTGCTAATTCCATTCTTCAACTATGTATATTTCAAGATCGATAAATAGATAGTGGAAGAATATTTATATCTATGTAAATGTTATATAGATTTTTGTGTTTTTATGTTTTATAAGTATTTTATTATGTATTTTTTACGTATTGTAGAAAATTTACATATGTCGAGTATTGCCAAATCCACCGTGGCCAGCTTGACTAGCTCCTTTGTTGTATCCCATTTGTAAATTGAGATGGCCCTCGCTTGCTCGAAGTTGATCTTCTGTGAACAATCTTTTGTTTTCTTCGGCCATTTTTGGTCCTAAACGTGGACCTGTATATTCAGGATGTTTTTGTGTCTATAGAGAAGAGAATCACGATTTATTGAATGTTTATTCTTCTCTGAAATTTTAAAATTAAATTAATTTCACGATACTTACTATCCTGCCCAAAGCATAAAGGCACAATGTAACCTGTGGAATATTGCGCTTTTCGAATAGATCAGCTGTTTGGAAGATTTCCTCTTGCGGGACACCGTATTCTTTAATGGCTGCTTGGAATCTGACCAAAAATAACGATAATATCTATTAATTGCAAATTATTAATGGAAAAATGTAAATTTAAATTGAAATATAGTTTGAATTATTATAAGTATATACCTCTGAACATTTTCCATAAGCTGGAAATTAGTTCCTTTGGTCTGAATCTTTTTTACTGAACCAGGCGCCAATTTATTGATAAGCTTGCACAAGATCACTCCATCTTTGAGTATATCTTCGTAATTTCCAGGTGGAAGTTTTTCTCCTAGGACGGTTTCGATCCATGTTAAAATCTCATTCTCTTGTTCCTTGTTGCGTGCCTAGAAACCGGAAGTTTTATCTTCGTCAATTGTATCCTCTTAAATTAGAAACATATGGTAGATATAGTGGCACAGATATCGATTTAGGAGTCAGGGATGATCCAGCGAAGTTGCCGGGCAATTTAAAAATGTCAGGGACAGAAATAGATCACGACGGTATTACGTTACCGCGGATATTAAGCAAACATCGAAAATAAAATACGCCGACCGATTTATTGGCTTTTATTAAAACTGGCAAGAAGCAACAATATTCGGCCACCTGTTTCTGTGCCGTGAATCTTCAATTTTACTAATTTCTGGTAAAATTGTTTATAAGACGAAATTATTTACATTTCTGGCATTCTGACAATTGTTTCGTTTTTACAACTTTTTTTTTTTTGTATTGTTTTTTGTCTTTTAGAATGATCTTTTAGAATGAACTATGCAAAAGAAACTTGAAAATATCGAAATATCTTTTAATCGATAATTATATCTCACAATGTTTTTTCATATAATATTTTCATATAATAGATCTCTTTTTTCATAAGTGAGAGATTATCGAGAAGGGAACATGGATATGAATATTTTTCTCTGATAAATATAAGCAATTTATTAACATCTTTTGCATCGATCTATAATGCCAACGAATTGACGTAAATGAAATCTGGCATCTATTTATTTACGATAGATCAGTATTTATAGCAAAAATAAGCTCTAATACGTTACGATTTTCCACGTGAGTTTGCCTCGAATATTTCAACGATTGCATCGTCTTACTAGAAGTCTATTTTTATTCGATCGAAAAATAAGGATTAATGATGATCTTGCAAGAAAATGTTCGGAATATCTGCAATGTATCAAATCTTTCTAAGCAATATAATCTTTTTCGAACACTCTCGAGATCGTATTTTAAGCTTTATTCTCAAGGGACATGATGTTTTCATTCGAACTTATCTCGAAAACGTAACACCTGATGCAAAGATTTATTAAATTTAAAATTAAATTGATTAATTTTCGAGTCTTTATTCCAGCAATTTTAGTTATTAATCAAATGAATATATCCATTGATTGCTTTTAAAAATGTACGAAAAGTTCGCTTCATTGATCGTATTTAATAATAGATTATGAATATATTTGAAGTTTGAAATATAATTAATAATCAAAATTGATCAATAAATTTTTAGAAACTAAAACAAAAATTTTATAAATATATAAATTTTATAAATTTTAAATCTGAGGAGGAAATTATTGCAATAATAATCTTTTTTCAGTTTCTTGAATTAACGGCTTGAAAATATTGTTAAAATATATATATTATGTAAGAATATTTATCTTAGGATATAAATATTCTGAACGAGAAGTAGGAGATATGCGTCAAAATCGATCGCTATTACAAATTACAAAATTTCGAGTTTTATTATTATTATTTTTTTTTTTTGTATCTATTATCCTATGTATTTTTTTGTATCTATTATCTATTGATTGGATTAAAAACAAATTGTTGCAAACCTATTTTACAATATCTTTCAAACTCTTCATATTTCCAATCCCTATTAATTTTTTTCTTTACAATTCGGATTAATCCAAAATTTTGGGAAAATCGCCAGAACGAAATAGTCCAAAATTTATTGTAATTAGGATTCTAAAATAAGGAAAACTAAAATACAGCAATAACATAATTAATTAAATTATTCATTTTTGTTATAATCCCATTATATCATTATTTGACGAATAGTTGCTAAGATATCGCGATTCCGCATTGCATTATTTCCATGTGGAACGTACACATCGACAGGATAATGAACACATACCGGCATGTTTCCTTATTTTTCTTTTGTTGAACGCCGGCGATGTTGCCACGGAGATAATGTGTGCTTTTCGTTGAAACTAACTTTTAAATGATGACGCTAACTAGAGACTAAGTCGGACGCTGTGCGTCTCGACGCTATATGCCGATACCCCCTCCGTCGCATCCTTTCCACCGACATTCAGAAAAGAGTATTTTTTGGCCAGTTGCCCACTGGGTATTCCCATACTCCCGCCCACGATCAGATCTTGACACTGCAAATCCTATTTACTAGATTGAACGAAAATGTGCTTATAATGATTGAGAAAATTTTTTTTCTTTTGTTATTTTGTCATCAACTTTGATTATTTCTAAAAACTTTAAAATAAATATAAATAGAATACTAAAATTTAAGAAGTATTTAAGAAATATGATCAATATTTAATTTAGAAAATTCAGGAATGATGATTTTAAAATAAAGAAAATACAGATTTTAATTTTTTTTTGTTTATATAAATATTAATTATATAATTATATTAATTATATATTATATTAATTATATAAAATTAGTTTCAAAGATCTTTTGGCCATATATCATAATTGATTCACAATTTTCCTCGTTCCTACAAGACTGGATTGCTTATTTTTGTATTTCATATTCAAAGACGTTTTCTTTTTCTTTCCTCTTATCTTTTGTGCAAATAATTTTGCCTTTGAAGATTTACAATTCTTCAATCCCATGTAATTTTACATATAGCATTTCGATGAAACCGAATTCTCGAAATACTAAGTGACTAATTATCAAAAATATATGCAATTTTAAGAATAGAAAAGAGAATAATCTGAAACTGGAGTTGAAGTTAAAGTTCACAATAAATGACTAAATATTTATTGTTTATTGTTAAATCATTAACAATAAGTCACATCGCTGATGTCATTGACATCATAGATGGAAAAAATCTGTGATTGATGACAAAGTTGTGGAAAAGTTCGAACAAGTGGGTGTTTTTTCTGACGATGAACAATGTTTAACTGGTCCGTGGACGAACGCCAGATGAAAGACACCGATAACAGCAAGACGCTTGTAATTTCTGGATTCTGGCCACTTCTCGAAGGGTGAGGCCACCGCCGAGTTTAGATTTCATCAATCGACACTATTTCCAAATTTATCGTAATACAACAGAATTGCGTAAATGGCTGGAGCGGATATTTATATTTGCGTTCTTTATATCGGGATTGAATTACATAACAAATATAAGTTTAATAATACAGTTAATGTGATTATTATTACTTCCTGAAATCTTTAATAATTGTATCTATTTAGAATATTTTTCTTGTGATCAATAAAATGATTTTAATTTAACACTTTTTGCGAGATTGATTCTTTATTTAATTGGTTCCGAAATATTAAAATGAAAAAAGTTAGTTGAAAATTGTTGGATTCTTTTGTTTCATTCGGAATTAAAAGCAATAAGAAAAAATATAATATAATAAATATAATATAATAAAATATAATAAAATATAATACAATAAAATAACTTACATATTATTTGGTTAAAGGAGAGAAAGAATGGAGTAAGATTCCATTATATAGCATCCTTCCACGTGTACTTAGCATGCTACCTCTTGCTTTCGTGTTTTCCTGTGACAATGCATTTCCAATAAATACTTAACGCATCCCTTGACTTGCAGTCAATTGCAGATACATTGTTCATAAATAGTACCTGAAAAATTGAGTTCAAGAAAAAATCGTATTTTAAATTTATTTATATGTATTTATAATAATACATTATTAAAGAAATATCTTGAATAATTTCTTAATATATGAAATTAAGTTTCAAAATTACATTTATTTATTCATATTTTATATTTAAAATATACATAGTTTCGTGCCTACATTCACTCGAATTGTTAGTTACTCATCTTGCTACGAGATGGCGTCGAGGAAGAAAGGATTCTCACTGTCGAAAGATTACGACAGTGTTATTAGTAGGGCTGAGGAAGATAGATTCGTTAGCTTTGCGCAGTGGCGATATCGTAACCAATGAGGTTCTACCGAGGTGCGATTATTGCTAGTTGAAAACTTTTACCAATACCCCGCCATGACGATGTGAAATACCATCGGCTACGGCAATTTTTGAAAGTTTCTGCGGAAACTGATAAATTTGTTACAAAAACAAAAATCATTAGGAAAAAATACATAATTTGTTTCATAAAAAAATTTTAAGATTGGGTGACATGTACATAAATGAATATGAATTTAAAATTTAATTAGTTAATAATTTTTTAAATTATTTTTTAAGCTTAACATTGCATTGAAAATATTGATTATCATTAAATCATGATAAAAGGAACTATTAAGCATACTGCTATATAAAGTTATTAATATCATTAAAAAAATATTAAAATAATTTTTAAAACATTTTGATTATAGGTTGCTGGCAAGCGAGAACCGAACCAAGAAGCCGAGGCTCAACAATGGATTGAACAAGTAATTGGAGAGAAATTTCCAGCAGGTATAATCATTAATTTTTTTAATACTTGATCATTTATTTTTAAGCTTAAGATAAAATGAATTGAAGTTTATCAATAATATCATTCCTTTGCTCCACATACTGTCATATATAAACTCCTGTTCTCCGGAGGTGGTGTAGTTCGAAAAGCGTGTCAATAACACCACCCCCGTTTAAGATCAATGTAACGCATACAAAGGCTAACTTCAACCCTATAATATCCGGATACGAATGTCAGACTGCGTGACGTAGTAAAGGTTAAACTTGTTGACTAGGTCAGTTATTGGAATATCTAATTCTAATATATGAAAGATGTTTATAAGTACAATGTTTATACGGTACAAAAATTTATAATAAAGAATAATTTTTAAGAACAATCTAAAATGAAACAAAAGATTAATAAAAAAAAAATTATAAGGAAAATAGTAACCTTAATTTTATATATAATTCTTAAATTTAGATATTAAATAATAATTATTGATCGCGACAAGCTAATATTGGAATACGAATAGAGAACGAAAGGTGGTTGGTGACAGGAGCTGTTAAGGGTAATTTCATCCTCCATTTATCGATGTTCTCCTAATCAAACGCGCGCTTTGTTACGTCATTCGAGTCACCCTATTGAACGGGAAACTGGATAACAACCCCTACGTCGAACGTGTACCCCTGGTTTAAGAAATACGTGAGGCGACGATGCAATTGCCATGTTGAACATATGACTATATATCTTTACTCGTATAACGATTAATTATTTAAGAACAGTATTTGAATTAAAATAAATAGAATATTTAATATTTTTTATGTTTGTACGATATCAGATTGCAATATTTTAAAATTAAAAAGATTACATTCTTATTTTTAAAACTTTTATTCAATAAATTTGATTCCTAAAATAAATAATTATCATATTAGCATAAAAATAATTAAATTCCATCATATAGCTAGATTTTGTATTATGTCACAAACTATCCCTTAATATTATGTAGTATAAGTTCCACCCACAGCAAGAAATAGCTCTACACGATGATGTAAGCCGGGTATTTGAAGCTTTTGATGTTATTGACTCGTTTGAAAATTGAACTTAGACAACTGCTTTAGTTCATTGCCTTTATCTTCCACCCACATTTTTATCCTTCTAATTCATTCTTAGTATTGCTGACCTTTGATGACCTGCAATCGGAATTGGTATTTCTCAAGATTCTCAATTCTTTCAATTGTGGATGTTAGCCTGTTCCTGGAAGCTCGTGTGGCATGCTGGACCCTTGTATAGTTTGCATAAAAGATAGAAATATTATTTAAACGAGAGAAAAATTATATATTATTTGAACATTAAAATTTTTTTAATAATTTTGAAGATTTATTTGAGTATAAAACTTTGAATATCTTAAAATAAAATTTTTTAAATCAAATCAGTTATTTCTTACAATACAACAATTATTTAATTATATCATGTTAAATAATTGTGAAATTAAGATTATAAAATATATTAAAACAATATTAAAAGTTATCTTTCTGTGATTGGAAATTGATAATATAAATTGAAATTAGATTTTTTATCATTAATTGCATAGACAATAAGTAAAATAAAATCAAGCTGAAGGATCCGTTAAACGATTTTTAACAATCACTTGCCGACGATGTATATTGATTTAGCGTCATCTGTTCATCATGTTACGTCGTAAGGACGCCAATGTATCAGGATCGCATATGAGAGTCTGGATAGTCAAGTCAAACATCGCATTGTGTCATTTTTCGTATTGATCTTCTTGCGATATTCTTTTTTTTTTATTTTCATCTTCTGAAACAAATTTAAATTTAAGAATTATTCATAATAATTGAACTTTTATTATCTTTAATTTATTTAGTAAATTTATAAAAAAATTTAAAACAAAAGATGTTAAATATTATATTTTACAATTTATATGTCTATATATACAATTATGTATATATATATATATATATATATAGAACTTACAGTATTTATTGTAAATCCTAATTTAAATTTTCATAATAATCATATTTTATTTTTTCAATATTTAATTTCTGTTATAGATAAATAATTTTTAAAATTATTTATAACAAAATAAATATCATTCGATTATTTCCTTTCTTTAATTATAGCACTTTATAATGTTTCATATTATTAAAAACATTCTCTAAATATTAACAAGAAGAAATCCAAGAATTTGAAAAAAGGAAGTGTCAGTCATCAATTCGTCACAGTGGTACAAATAACTTGCTTACACCAGGATACTAGCAAATGTTTGAGAAATTTATGGCTTATTCGCCATATATAAGCATCAATGTATCGATTCTTATACCTATTATATATTTCTCTTTTTTCTTCTTGAAAGATAATTTTAGCACAGATATTGAACATCTTGTCTATGATTTTTATAAATAGGAGCTATCGATATGTTAAAGTAGTCGTCACGAAACGTTGCGTGATATCACGAAAGCTCGCAGTTACTAGGGTAGTAACGAGGGATAGTAGATGAATTTATGGCTTTCCCGCTGACCAAGGACTGCTTTCCATTCATTGTGTTCGTTCAGAAAATAAGAATATTTTCTTTGGAAGAAATTGCAATTCATTCGATTAAAAGATTGAAGAGAAACATCAACGAGTGTCAGTTGTCCGTCAG